TAGTATCAATAAATCAGATTTCAGTAAAGAATTTACATTTGCTTTAAGAAGAAGCAGCTTATAATAAATAATCAGTTTAAAAGAACTTTAAACTCAGATTAAACGATAATGTAAACGAAACTTATCTTTTCCGTTGAAATTGTCCAGTTGATGATTCGATGTGCTAGCAGCACGGTATGACAATTTTAATTCCAGAATTGGTTTCCAGAATATTTGACCAGTAGTCCACACCTGAAAAGAAACTGAGCCGATCTCCAGCAACTAAAAGTTAAATTCGGGAGTAAGAGCTTGTTAAAGCCAAACAGAAATTCTAAACATTTTCTTGCGCCATTTTGGATTCAAATTTAGTTGGGCGCCAATGTGATGTAGCCGTTCCTCAATAGACACTAATGCCGGCTAGCTTTAAAAGGATTTATTAACAGAGCACACAGGAACGGTTACAAACAAAAGAAATATACATAAAAAAATGAAACATATACCAAATGGAACACATCAAACATTGAGAATAACATAACATAGTAAACTAACATCATGGCGGCTGGAGTTCGACTGACGTTTTTCATATCGCCACGAGATGGCGTTTAAATAAAATAGTTCGGTTACAGTTCATGACATGAATAAAATAGTTCAATTACACTTAAATAGGTCTGTTACACATTTAATTAATCATATCTTGAATAATTCTAATCTTACGACAAAAAATGAATTCTAATCAAACGACAAAGGATATTTTTTGACTAATTCGGCTGTGAAAATCACCTTTCATTAAAATACAGTTTTTGTATATTTTACTAAGTGAGTCATGTAACCTGAATTGTAGCTGTTTGAAAGACTACCCTATTGGATCCATTTCTGAATTCAGAGAAATAAATCTACGACCAGTCTTTCCAAAAACATTTATTCGTGCAATTTGCCTACACATATCGAACATATGCGTGCATGCATGATTATTATACCTCTAGTCTTTTGTTGCGAAATTTTGAAGAAGTATTATATTAGCGATACTGCTATAAATGCAACGATTGTGTTTTCAGCTGAATTACAAAACGCAAACTTTAAAATTAAATACTTTGGTCAATTTTTTCGTACGCTAGTCAAACGTTGTGTGTTTTATGTTTTTAAATGAGTGTAAACTAGTACTACATGTAGCCCTTGACCTTCGCACACAATTGGCTCCTGAAAACGTGTGTGAATGCTGAATTCTTCGAAAGCAGAAGAAAAAATATATACACCCCAAAAAATATATATTTATCAATATGTAAATGAGACGTGTTTAAGTGCTTTCGGGTATTTTCTTTATAAACTTGCGAAGAGTTAGTTGAATACCACCTTTTTTTAAAATTTAATGATAAAGATTTCTACATGTTCTTTCTCAGTCGCCCAGTTGAGATATACGTTCTCCATTGAGATCACATTATTCCATGATTGTCAAAAATTTGTGAAGATTGCATGAAAGCTTCAATTATATTTTTAATTTTCAAAGTATTCACGTTTTTATCAGCTTCTTCTTCCTTGCTTCCGCTGTGTTGTGTTACTTATTGTTGCTCATTTAGGTTTTCATTTGAAGGAGGTACTGTGATTCAATCGACTCTTTAACATCTTCTTAGTTGACGTCCAAGTTTACTTCATTCATTAGGGTAACTATTTTACCTTGTAACAGCTTCCGGTGTTTCTTCTTCAAAATTTATAAAACTACTCATCATTTGAGGGAATTAATTGTTTCCAGGCACTTTGTCGATTCTTTTATTTCAGTTTACGAGTCTTCAATATTGTTTATTGCATATTATAGTTCTTCCAAAAATCTCTTAATATTGGCCCATCTTCCCTATCAGTTGCCTTGATAAACTTAGTCATTTTTATCTTATATAGTATCTTATATAGTATTTTTTATTCTTATATAGTATCCTTTACATAATTGTCCTCATATAATATCGTAAACGTGTAGAGACATTAGGTGTTTTTTGGAAGCAAGCAAGACGAACAATAAGCAATCGCCTTCACCGGGAATCGAACCACAGACCTCTGAAATACCGGCTCATTGTGCTGAACACTACACCACGAAGGCACGCTAGGAAGGCGGGAGAAATACCTTATATACTCCCCCTTTTAAAGGGCGACTGGGGTTAATCGCCAAATCTTTGGTGCGGAGAATCATCATCCAACACCCTTTTAGTTCGGGCGCCACTGTAGATACATTAGGGTTTTTTGGATGCCGGAGAGAGGAAAAATTAGCAACTGCCTTCGCCAGGAATCGAATCACGGACCTCTGAAATACCGGTTCAGTGTGCTGACCGCTACACTAGAAGGCGGGAGAAATATCTAATAAACTTAGCTATTACTGTTTGGTCCATGGCCCAGATAGTACTGGGAAAAAGAAACTCAACATTGAATTCCGTGTATAAATTCTGCAGAGGTTTTGGGTATCCTAAAGCATTGTCTGCAATAAATAATGCTTTATATTGTAAATTATTATTTTTACAGTATTATGTAACTGTCGGCCCGAAATGAAAAGTGAACCAGTTTGAACTATTAATGCAGTAGCCCAGGCATTTTTATTTGATTTCCAAATGAATGAAGGCAATTTTTTATCTTTCTCTTTGAACGCTCTGGGTTTTCCGCTTGATAAACTAACAATGGCTTAAGTTTCCACCAAGAGCAATGTGAGTCGTTTTTCCGAAGTTTTATGTCCAGGGTTAACACATTCTTCCTTCGATAAAAACGTATAATTAGGCATTCTTCCTTTGATAAAAACGTATAATTAGACATGTTTTTCTCAAAATAAACCCGTCTCATCTACATTGACTATTTGACTAAAAGAATATCTTCATCTATAATAATTTTGGACTACGAGTAAGTAAATTCTTTCACAGCATCTTTATCTGCATCAGCCGGTTCTCTACTGAATTTAGTATTATGTAAAGAATATTTCATTTTAAATTGGTCAAACCGGCCATTACTTACTTGAAACACCCTGTTTGAATCTGCTTTTAATCTAGTCTTCCAATCTTTATACCAACTAAGAGCATTAACTTGAACAATTGAAACACTCAGAATGATATTACTTTGATATTGATCATCAATCCATGGTGACAAAGATCTTTCGATTTCATCTGTCACAATGTCATGTCTTTTGTAAACTACCTTAGAATATATATTTTGAACGAATTTTGAACCACAATTTTGAACGAATTTTTTAATGTTACTCTTATTATTCAAAATTGAACATACCGTGGATCTGTTTACATTGTACAAATGTCCCATTGAAGCATCGTTTTCAGATCGAACAAATTCATCGTTTTCAGAGCGTTTACGTATTTTCATCTTTATTTCGATCGTTTAAAGTTTATAAGCCCTTAATTTCTTTTTGTTCTCATCAACACTGAAGTTCCTTCGTTTCTCATTCATGTTTATCAATTTATAAGAACGACGTATTTAAATATAAACAAATAAATTGTCAAAACGTGCAACACGTTGACGCACGTCCTAATGAAAGCCTGAAACCCTTTTGATCTCTTGCTCGGAACAACACAGTAATGATTGACATATGGTACCCCACCCCTACCGTCCTCGTCATGGCCGCGAACGCCCCTTGTTGACTAGAGCAATAACAAAAAAAGAACAGATAGAACATGCGGGCTGAAAACGGTTGACGCGCGAGCAAATTTTTCATTATCTACAAAGTCTTAAAAAAACTAAATTTTTAAGTCGAGGAATGCATGTAAATATAACTATATAGACCGAATAAAAGGTTTGATTTTATAATTTTTATAAGGCTGCTTTTTTAAATTTAAAACATACTCAAAAATGAGTACTTCCATCAATGAAAATACTTTAGCAATTGCAAGGAGATGTCTGTGACAAAGTTTGCGAAAATAAATACCGTATTAGTATTTTTATGGATTCCTTGTTGTTGTTACCTCTAAAGCTCACTTGTCTGACCTATCTGTCTGACTTGTCAGCCCAAAGCCCACGCAATTCCTCGTGGCAAAGAACGCAAGATTAAGCCTGTCGTTGGTAACAGCTTTGAGCACCTTCCAAGTCACATTACGACTTTGCTTGGTTCCGCCCCCCAATTTTATTTGGCACCAAGGGGGGAGGGTCCGAGGGTCTCCCAACCCTCCTCCCCTACCACCACTTCGGGGGTCGACATAGACTACTCTGCGAAGCTACTGGCTAGGATCTGTATCTAGGTAGTCTCGACCACGGGGGGTATAAAAATTACGAGCCTGGCGGTTCCCGACGATCCGTGGGGTGGGGCTCATCTCCGCTCTTCACGGGTCTGGTGGCGTAAATCCCGTAACTAGGGCATTGGTAGCCAAATAGCGCCTAGGCCATTTAGCGTCCAGTCACCGCTGTCCTTGGTATTCCGTGTAAGGTTTGGAGGGAGGGGTAGCCCGCGTTGTACTGTCGGGTAGCATCATTAACGACCAGTCAATGCTCCAGGAAATCAAGCCCACCCCCATCGTCGTGGTCTCTAATCAGTGGGACGGAGGCCTTAGCTGACCAGTGTAGCGGTGGGCCTGCTTTGTAAGTGGAGATTTTTGAAGCTGTTGTTCCTGGTGATGTGGGCACAAGGACTTCAGTTGGAGTCTATGACCATCTCCAAGGTGTCTTTTTGCTGGATAGGCACGCCCCGTGCCTAATATCGGGGGATTGAGCTGGGTAATGCCAGCCACGTAGTGTCATTTAGTTGACGAGGCGCGTATAAATCTTAGTTAGCTAGTTCCCCTACCACCAACCTCATGAGAGGACATTCGGCTCTCCGCATATTTTACAGTGCCTCCATGCGGCACGGACACTATACATTTACAATCATCCATGCTTTCTCCGGGATTCGAACTCGAGTCCTTCGGCACGGCAGTCAGCGACACTAACCACTATAACGGTTGGGTGGCTAGATACGGTGTGCATCTGTGTGTCGTTTTCTGTGTACGTATGTAGCAGGAACACTATGATCTTGTAGCGTTTACTTTTTAACATTTGACTGAATTGTTTTACAGATTTCCAAAACTATTTAAGGACGCAGGCTGGCAATACAACAACTGTAAATGTGGTCATAAGCACAGTCGATTATTTACTAAGGCTGCAAGTGAGTTTCCCCATCATGTCCCATTTTTATGAACATCTTAATATTTAATACTATTTAAATGCATAGTTGGTATTTTTTCATAAATGTTATTTATAAAACATGAGCTTTTACTGTATGGAATATATATTTTTGCACTACTTTTCAGGAATCGATCATGGACTTTTACTGGTATTATTCTAGTAAAGATATCATTGACCAACCAGTAAGTCATAATTATTTCATGTAATATTTTATATACTAATGCTATTTATGCTTCTAAAATAATTTGTATTTTTAGATTAAATTTACTGTGGCTCTCTCTGTATACACTGCGCTTGCTGTGTCCATCGCTGACCTTCATATTATTAATACAACTTTTTTTATATGCCTACCCTTCAAGCACTGTCCTTATCTTGTCATTTCAGACACATAAATGGCATTGCATTCGCATATAAACCATTCTTAAACTTCTCATTCTGACATCCTCTTGAAGTCATTTATTAACTGCGGGTATAAGAGCTATCTTCGAAAGCTATTAAATTTTATCTAATACTAATAATCATGTTGTTATGTAAATTTTATGATTCAGTTTTTAAATATCATATTATTACATACTTTATTTAAATAGTGTGTTTGATTTTTAATTTCAGGGCAAAGATAATTTTTGCAAAGCTATAACTGTTGCAAAGCAAGTATTTAACACGTTGACTGAAGTCATACAGGTAGGTTTTTAATTCTTTTGCGAAAATGTTAAGTTCATTAAGAAAATATGTAACTTTTGTTAAGCATTTCAACATGGGCAGTTAAGTTTGTGCATTGAATTATCGCTATTGTTATTGTGGCTGATAAAATGGTTATCCATGGGAACTCTCCTTTCAGACTCATGAATCTCTTGTATTTGACTGTAACTCGTGTATTTGACCTAACTTAGGAGTCTGATGCATATGTTTCCTTACTTCTTATTCACCCAAAACAAAGAATCTTATGAATCTCATTTTGGCTTCAAATGTCAAAAAGTGTTTTTATTGAGAATGTGTTAAAACAAATATTGTTCCTCTATACTTGTTCATTTATCATTTTCATCGGTTGTTACCTTTTTTAAGTAAACTGTTTTAAGTAAAGTAAAGTAAGTTGTTACCTTTTTTAAGTTAAATTAGTCCTTCATTTGCTTACTTTTGTCTCACATTGTTTACTAATACATGTTTTGTCTAAGACTTTATGGTTCATTTTCATTCTTTTATTGTTTGTGAAAATATTAATAGTACTTGCTTTTTTTTTACTTCAAAAGTTGCGTTAAGTATGATGTTTACATTTTATTATAGAAACTTACATTTTTTGTTTCTAGGGTCCATGTTCTCTAAATCAGCAAGCATTAGCACACAGCAGATTATGGGATGCAGTCGGTGGTTTTCTCTTTCTCTTTGCTCATATGCAAGATAAACTATCAAAGGTAAGTTTATAAGGTATTTCTTTCGCCTTCTTAGCAAGCTTTCGTAGTGTAGCTGTCAGCACGCTGGGCGCGTATTCTAGAGGTGCGTGGTTCGATTCCCAGTGAAGAGGTTGCCACATTTTTCACATTAACTGCTTCCAAAAAATTCTAATGTCTCTACAAGTTTTCTTATGAAAATTTAGTGCTCTTTTATATTCGTGTTATTTAAATGTTTTTGGTCTTAATTCACATACCACATATGCAGCTTAAACCTTTTACTGTAGCGTTGTTTTTTTCAGTGACACAATAATAATATCCATTCACCTAAGAATTATTATTTAATTTAATATTATGTTAACTTTTATAATTAATAATTAATATGGGATGTTAATGAAAGGTTTACTTATATTATAAAAAAATGAAAAGTCATTATGAATGTCTATGGTACTGCGATTCTAAATTGAAAATTAAATTCTTTAGCAACCTGATCGAATGAAATTATTTGCATCACCATATCTTATTATTATGTACATGAGTTAGCCTAAATTAGTTTCTTTTAGGTTTTCATGACTTATCATTTTGTAAGTTTTCTTTGTATTGCATATCCCTAATGTGCTAAAATGAGAAACGACAAACAGTGGGTTATATAGAAAAAGGCTTTTAGTTCTCGCATGGGAAGCTTAATATAGTAAACGTCCTGGAGTCCGGCATCCAGTGATTTGATACATCTATTAAATATGAAGTAATTTGCATCCTAGCGGGAAAACGGAAAGAGAGAAGGGACAGTAAATTTTTCAAACATAAAATAACTGTTATGTAACCGTCTTTTGTTCTAAACTTTGTATTCATTTATCATTTGTTTTCTTTATCTGCACTTATTTAGAATGCTTATAAAAATTTTGATAAAGGAATAACTTATAAACACGTGTGTTAAACAGTTAATTAATTAATTGATTAGTTGGATGCTATTAATCTAGGCTATGGATCAAAGAGTGATTCCATACTTTAAATACGAATATAGATATTAGTTTATAGAAAATTTATTAACTCTGATTACTGTATCTAAAATGTTCAAATTCTTTCTACTGCTTGGAATCGTGTACGCAACGTTACAAGAAGCTTCACGAAAATTCCGACCAAATGCTATGAAGAAAAATTCTATCGTAGAAGTGAAAATATTGATAATCTAATGTTAACCGCTGTGACTTATTGAAAAAAAGCCGAAAGTCGTCTTTGGAACAATTTAATCATTCTTTCATAAACCGAATCCTGAGAAAAGACTGAAAAAATGTATGTCAGCACTTATCACTGCATAGGTAATTCTACATATATACTCTTACGCTGCTTTTAAAATTTTTGCGTTTGAATTGTTTTTAATTGGTTTTGTGTTACTTTTTTAACACAAAACGTTAAAAAAACGCCTCTTTGGGCGTAATTTAAAATCTGAAACATTTCAGACTTTTTTATGGTGTTTTTATTTTTTCTTTATTTTACATGTAATATGCTCTAAATTTTACAGAATGCTAGTCAGCTGGATCTCTTGAAAGAGCTGTTGGAGCTGCAAAAGGAAATGGTTATCATGATGCTCAGTATGCTTGAAGGTACGAAAAATAAGAGGCGTGTATTGAAACATTATTTTTCCACTTCTCTAATATAGACTGCATTTTAAGCAGAACTAAAGCGAAACAAAATTATAAGTGCAATTTAGCATGTTAAAAGCTTTTCATTAAATCCTTTTTTCAGGAAACGTAATGAATGGAACAATTGGTAAACAAATGGTAGACACGCTTGTAGAATCTGCAAGTAATGTGGAGGTAAAGTTTCAGGAAACTTTTCCCGATATAAACTTTAAAAACTTATATCTGAAATATATGTTAGATTTATAAATTAGGGGTTTAGCTTGCTTTCTTGTATAATGATATAATTTAACAAAACTGTTTACTTAAGAAATATGTGATATTATATTAATTCTAACTCTCTGAAAAAAGATGTTAAATGCTAAATGATTATAAAATTAAATTTCCTTTCCTATTAATTCCTTTGATACTTTCTTTAATAGTATAATATTTTAAATATTGTGAATGCATGAATGCAGTAAATTATGAAATTGCAAACAGCAAATACCGACGAATTTTTCTATTAGACTAAGCACATTTTATTATTTTTAATCTAAATTTTAGCTATAATATTCTTAAGAAAGCGGACAAATTTGAAAAATAAGGTGAATATCATTTCGTATTTAAAAATGTTTTTTTAAATATGTTCTAGCAGGAAACTGCTCTACAATGACTAAAAGTATTTATTGAAGCATATGAATTTCTATTTTTTGTTAAAACTGAATCAGGTGCAGTTAATTTTCACATACATCTGATGCATTTATATTGTATTCAAAATCATTGTATTTATGCATTCAGAATACACTGGTGTGCAAAAATTAAGAACGAGACGGTTTTTTCAATATAACTTTGTACAAAAGCTTTCCAAATCAACACATTTAATACCGTAAGATCCCCAATACGTAAGGACATGAGTAATGTAAGCAACACTTACTAAAAGAGAAATCAGAGGGATAAAAAGAAGCTTTATTGAAAAAGTAGCATGGAGCGCAATGCGACTGAAGGCCGAAACATCCCTGTGATGGGTGTCCAGCAAGAAACATCCGGTCTTTAATAGGGGATATGATCTCCCCTGACTGCTAGGCAGGTTTCACAGCGTCTGCCCATGCTGAGAATGAGGGTGTCAATGAGTTGTTGAGGCATTGCTGCCCATTCGCCTTGCAGCGCCAATCGAAGCTTCGGAATCGTTACTGGTGGTAAGGTACGAGCTGCCAAGCGTCTGCCTAGAAAATCCCATACATGCTCGATGGGATTGAGATCCGGAGATCGTGCCGGCCAATCCATAACGTTCAATATCCTCACTCTCTAAGAGCTGTTCGGCAGCTACTGTGCGATGACATGGTGCATTGTCGTCCATGAAAAGGAAACTGCGGACCCCCATAGCGCCTCTAAAAAGACGCACATATGGAAGAAGAATCTCGTTACAATAACGGGTCCCGTTGACTGAATCTGCGTCCGAAGATGTGAAGTCTGTACGACTACCAAGCATGATGCCTCCCCAAAAACGAGAACACCGCACCTCCATACCTGTCCCTTTCAATGGTTTCGAGGGGAATGATTGCGGCTTCCCCGCTCTCTCCAGATGAGTATGCGATGAGAATCGCTACTCAGACTGAATCTGCTCTCATCTGTAAAGAGTACTCGTCCCCATTCATTCTCTCTAATTCCGGGGTTCTCGGCCACCACAGAGAACGCCTTCTCTGATGGGCAGGCGTTAGAGGTACACACCGTACAGGGCGTCGTGCAAACAGACCACCACCGTGCAGTCTTCTGGCCACGGTAAAAAAACGCGATATCGGTCGTTCAGTCGCCTGTGTGTGGTCTAGCGATTTCTCCCGCTGTTCTGCCGCCTGTTTCTTCTGGCCTGTAAGGCAATATACTGGTTCATCTGCGGGTGTGGTTCCTCGTGGACGACCACTACTAAACCCCCCGGATAGCTGTTCCTGTAGTTTGAAATTGTCTCCAAAGTCGTGAAACGATGCTGTGAGCAATTCCGAACTCTGCAGCCACACTTGTCACACTGCGGCCTTCCTCCAACTTCCCAATGATTCGACCTGGGGTAAAAGCATCCAGATGTCATCTAAAAGATTGATTATTCGCCATTTCTAGCTGAGGCAGCAACTCAGTGTGATTTTAACTGCTATACGGCGTGCAATCTCTTTGCCAGAAATACTGATCTTACACCGACAACTTGCTTTATACTACTCAGACACTCCCCCATTACGTCTACCTGCATATCTGCGCATGTGCTACCGTACATCACCTTACTTAATCTCCTGATTGTCTTTCTGTCCGCTCTGCCTCTTCGTTCAGCTGATATGCTAATTTTTCGACTTTTTAATTTTAGTTTTTGCACACCAGTGTAATTATATTTGTTCGGTGCATAGGCACATGTAGTGTGAAAAAAACGGAGCTGCCGGTTACGCCTATGCATTCTAGAAAAAGTGCAGGCTGTAAATTCCTGAAGCCACGGTTATGAATTTTCAGATTCACCGTAAGTAAAAACTAATAATGGCGCGCAAAAAAGAATATAATATAACTTTTATTTCATCTTTCATGGCTAAGAATGGCATCTTCAAGCTAATAATGGCACGCAAAAATTATATAACTTTTATTCCATCTTTCGAATGTCTGAGGAAGTTCATTTGATTAAAAATGGAAGTCTTCTGTTGCACCATTTCCAGATAGCAAAATGTATTGTAACCAACGAGATACGCTGCTAAGAAGAGAGATTTTATGCTGGCCTGGTAGCAGTCCTATGTGCTTTCCATTTGGAGGAGCGTGCAGAGAGGAGGTGAACATAAACCTGAGGAAGGAGTCAGAAACTGAAAAAACGTTATTCTATCTAAATAATTGAATGTTGGAAGTTCAGACAGCATACTAACCAAGAATTTTGGCTGTCTGCCAAAAGGATGTGTTTAGTTACAGAAATGAGTGGAAGATCGCGAAACATTCTTTGTATAATACAAAACTAGCTAAATAAATTGTAGCATAATAACTTTTTAGCATGAAACTTTCGGTAGGGAAATGCAACGAGTCATTGTCTTTAGACGGTGGAATGGATGGACTAAATTTGAACTCTTATGCAGATAGTGATTAGGCAATCTACAATGTAACTTGGCAATCTAACGTAAGCAATGAGCTTGGTTTTTCTTGATCTGGAGCGGGTTCTATAATTTTTACCGAGTTGTAGCAGCTTTTAGACTAAAGGGATAAATACAATAGCTAACTAATCTAAGAAATACCAGATGTAAATAGAAATGTTTCGTAATTGCTTCTAGCTTCATAATGACCGATATGGCCTCTGAAAATATCTGGCATGTGCAATAGCAGAAAAAATCGTCACTCTTTGTGAAGGTTTCAAAAGCGTAAAACGCTACTTTAAAGCAAACAATTACAGCAAGAAGTAGCAGCTACTGTAATGAGATGCGTGCTATGAGTTTTGCTTCTTCAAGAGAATTTCATATAGCCTTGTAGATATCCTTAAGGTACCATAAACTTTTATCTGTTATCAACTTTTTAGGAAATTTTTCCGGCAATCCATAGCTTAGAAGACTAGTCTTCTCCACTACCAGCAACACAATACTTTTGTGCTACTCATTCTAGCGCAGTCAGGAATTAGGTTGAAATACCATTTGATACCTGAACAATGAATGTTATAAGATTTCATTCAAAGAATGTTACATCTTTACGTCTCCGGATAGGGTACATTCTGAAGAGAATAACTGCTTTTTTTCATGCCCTGAATTTTAAACATTTGAATCTCTTAAATAAACTTAGATTTTATTGTCGTCGCTCCTATAATTTAATTCAGTTAACTGCAGGTTAATACTTCTACTACCCATTACTAAGCGCCGGAATATTTCTTTTTTTCACTTTCTGCTTGTGCATATGCATCGCATTGTTTCCAAAAATTCACAGTTTAAATAATTATTTAAATTTTTAATTGAAATGAATTCTGAAAAATTATACTTTAATATTTAAATAAAAGAAAAGAAATCATGTTCTTTACTGAAATTTAGTTTCGAATGAAATAGACTATTTAATTAGGGCAAAGCGCAAGAATTAAATTTCTATAAAAATGTAAATTTTATCGTTGTTTAAACTATAAGTTATCAAAAACCACAACACAATTAAAATATTATATGTGGCAAAAATATTTCTTATGGAAGTGCATCTTTATTCTAGTGTATTTCTGTATATTCTAAAATTAAATTAAATGAATTGTGAAACATTAACATTCAGAATAATATAAATGTTTTTGCTTACTATTTAAGAATATTCTGAGTTGTATTTATTACATCTCCTGTAAAGCGTATCTTGAGTTAGATATTTATGAAACAAATTTATCAAATTTACTAAATTATCCAAGTTGAAAAAGAAATTGTAACAATAAATAGGTTTTTATTTATTTTGACAATGGTTATTTTCAATGTGATTAACATGATTTCTTTTATCATTTAATGTGCTTTGATTTAGTTCAAATTTGCTGGAGAAATAAAATGAAAGCAGCAATCCATTGGAATGAAATCAAGTCAATAATCTCAGGCTTCCAAGAGTAGATTTTTTGAACACTTGTATTCATTACCTACAAGAAAGATATACATATTTAAGTTGCATTTTAAAATATGGAAGTTCATGAAATTTTTAATCAAATTTACTTAATTTTTTAAAGTAATAAAAATTCTCTGGATTGCTGTTTATTTCCTTTTATTTCTTGGTTAAATTACATGAAATTTTGTCAAGCTGTGGTGCTTTTTTGTATAACCATAGAGCCCTTTTTACCTTAATTTTATTCATTGCTTTTTAGTACTGCATGCTCTAGATTTGTAGAAATAGAACCATATTCCCTTTTTTCTTTCAGCATTCGCTGTGTGTTTTGAAGGTTTTTAAGCAATTTCTTTTTTCATTTGCGATTTCACTTACTTTTTGTGACATTTTTTAAAGTTTTTGGTAGTCCTTTTTTGCAAAACTTTTAGAAATAAAATACTTTATAAATACATTTGTAATTGATAATTTTTTTTTGAAATTTTTTGTATGAACATTATGAGTTTGATGCAACCTTGCATTTTACTGGCATTATTTTGCAACAATTTCTAAATCCAGTTAAAACTAATTTTGTGGTTTTAAGTAGATTATATGAAGTGTATTTAGAAATTTTTATAAAATTACGAATCGTGCATTCACAGATTATACTTCGCTTCTTCAACATGTTCCTCAAGCTGCCATCTCTTGTGTCTTCCCCTACAGTAGCGGTATGTAGTCACTACTAGTAGTTAATCCTTTTCTTTTCCTTTAACTAACTATAGGAACTAACTGAACACTACGGTCTTGACTGGGCATCACGGTCCCTACATCTTTAGTATAAATTAATATTTGAATTGCACTCGAAAACGTTATTTTTCATAATGTGCATATGTGATGACGTTTATATAAATACATAGAGCGTGTAAGTAAGTGTAGGGACCGTGATCAGTGATAAATGAAATTCATCCAAAAAAGAAAGAAAAAAAAGGTTAATTTCTGAGATATATTTTGGAATACCATTTTTCTGAATCTTACCTACAGCTGATCCTCAAATTCTTCGATATGTTCTTGAAACTGAGGGAACTGACATCATCTGCAACTTTCCAGGTAAATTGCAATAATTTAATTTATTGTAGCTTTAGCAAAGGACGCTACTGCATGCGTATTTAATGCATTTAAATATGTTGCGTAATATTTTGTGAATTTTTGAAACAAACGCGGAATGAGTTAAAAATTCTTTGTCGAAATTAGTAATGCAATTCACTCTGTTAAAACACGCAAAAACTGATCTGTGCTTTAAACGGAATTTGGCATTTGTTTTATTACGCATTGGGCAAGTTTAAAATATTTATTTTGAGTTGAGTGAAATTAGCTGTAATTTTTGCAGTTATATGCATTTTAATGTAGCTTATTTTAATATATATATCTTCTATATTTAAATTTAACAAACATTCTCTAAAAAGCAAATTTAAAGTTAATAATTTAAATGAAATTTAATGCAAACAAATTATTAATTATTGTTGCGAACTAATCTACAATATCATTTAAATTTTGAGAGCATATGTAAAGCAAGTGCAAGTATAAAATCCATGAATAAATATAAAATTAAAATTCCAAAAATTATTTAAACGCGTAAGTGAATGACTGTTGAGCAGGCAGGAGACAGACTTATTAAGGGGAAATTGCCTCCAAACCTAACTCTTCAATCATTCAATTCATATTTCGTCATCCATGTGGCAAGTCAAAACCAAAAGTAATACCAAATGTGGTGAATTAACTAAAAATAAATTTATACAAGTGGAATTTTGAGAAATTAGCAATTAAAAACTAGAATTAAAATTAAAAAATTAATAAATAAGAGTAGAAAACCAAATTTTTAGAAAATCAAAGTAATTTAGATACACTTGCCTGCAGAAACTTCCCCGACACATCTTTTATATTTATGCATACTTTCTTTAAACATTCATGTTCATATTTTTTCGATAAGAATTTTGAGAAATAATGTTTTCAAATTCTTGACTATGGGTAACGTAATGTTATGAAAGAAAGAAGTGCTATGAAAGGAGGAAAATAAATGAAACAAGTATAATATTTAGCATTATTCATTGCCGCAGTTTCATTGATTAATGGCATTTCAAAGGTTCTTGTTGAAGTTAAAAATCATTTCAGATCTTCTAAAATTATTTCAAGGAAAGAATTTCTCTACATTAAAACTATTACGAGCTTTTAAAATCAACTTTGTTTAATGATATAGCATTGTTACGAATTTTTTACATAGGTAGATGATTTTAGTGTAGTTGTATATGAAATTGTTGAATTTTGGTGCGTAATGTAAGGCGAAAATTCTTAAGAGAAAAGCTAAGCCGAAAAAGTAAGAATACAGAGGTAAGTCCATTGAGTAAATGAATATCTTGGGAATTTGGCGAGAAGTCGCCAAACTTGGCGATTATTTGGCAACATTTTGGTTCGGTCCTTGTAACACCGTAATCGGTATTGTAATTGAATAAATGTAATTGATCATTATATTAGCTGTAACCGTAATTCGACCCTTATATTGCCTTCCACTAATTTTGAGAAGCAGAAAGTATTATAAATATCTTGGCGTAACTGCTCTCAGTTCTTTAGCTATTGTTGTTGCGAGTTATTTGTTCAGCATGAACTGAGATGTCTCCGTTAGCTTTCTCTTTACATTCGTTTTGCATTGCAACGTTCTTAGTAGTTTGAAGTGTAACTACTGATTGTACTCTGTAATACTGTTACCTGTATGAGAATTTCTCTGAAAAATCCCAGAACGTAGGAAGTATTTCTTTTGATAAAAATAAAGTGTATTAACATATCATCGGACCTGTGTGCATTGAATCTATTACGAACACGAATGCACGCTACAGTAATTACTTATTACATAAGTAAATGTATAAGGTATTGTTCTAACTTATATTGAAAGCAATTGTAATAATGAGATTAAACTTCTGCATCACGGACTCTACAAATGATTCCACTGCAGGAAATTTTCAAGGTTTTACTTCTTTAAAGGTATAGGTATATCTGTTGCTCTTTTTAAAAGTTATACTAGAGTTAACCGTAAGAGAATTTTTCTTTGCAATAGATATAGGATATTTATGTAGAAACACCAGAAAAACTGCAAGAACGAAATTTAAGAAAAACACCTTTTAACAATTTTGCGATGCTGACTTGGTATGTTGTGGAATTTCTTCCTCGTATGGTTTACTAGTGTGATACTTCACATAGCGCGCAATATTTTACCCTTACAGGTGAAAAACTATGCCTTGCAAGAGCATGATTTTGTTCCTGGATTTGCATTCAATATTTTTGATGGATGAAACTTTTTAAGTAATTTTGGTTTTCTGTTCAGACTAGTTCTCTCATAATTATTAACAGTTAATTAGTTTTAGATCCACTTGGCTTCAAGAGACTCTGACAACAAAGCTTAAAAACGACCATGGAAATTTAGACTTTTCTTCGACATAGTTTGACTACTTTGTCTATATACTACATGGCTCTTAAGTTAAGCAAGCAAATGAAGTTTTTGACATACGTATGCAAATACTTTTAGCTCAGTTGGCGATATGAGATTTAATGTCACATGTGGCAATCAATTCTTCGAGAGTTTATAACATTTTCCTTTGAGCTAAAATTATACTGTCTTACCTTTAGAGGTCTTTCATTATTGAAACTAATTATCATTATTTCTCAATGTAAGCCATTTTAAAGTTATCTCAGAATTTTTAGTTGATAAGACGACAGATGTACTTAAAATCGCCTAAGTAGTTTGAAATACGAATTGTAAAAACTGTTCCAAAGTTATTTCAGATATTTTTTATGTTTCTATTTTTTAAAAAATTTTTATTGATTATTTTTGGAAATATTAGTATTTAAAACTGTAAATTAACTTTTATAGCTCTTATTGGAAAATAATTTGATTTTATCTATTAAAAAAGCAAGATACCTATTTAAAATTTCATTAAATTGAACTAAAAGGTTACTTTGAATTGGAAGAGAAATACTCAATTTAAATTAAACCTCCAATTCCCCAAAAATGCTTAGACGGACTTACTTTTTATACTCTAGAGCAGGAGGCATCTATATCAAATTGTCTTTGAAATCGATAGTATTTGAATATCATTTATCTTGCTTGTAATTGTGATGATAAATTGATACAAAACTCTGAATTTTCTAGTATCGATATGTAAAAGTTAAAATGTACACTGCAACGATAGTTAAAATGTACACTGCAATGAAATATTTCGAAGATACGTGTGAGCTATTTGCTTAGAGAAACCTTTTTTTTTAAGTGATAGAGCATTTACATTTATTATTTTACTGTACAGAGTATTTTACAGCAAATTTTAAATTCTTTACAACGTTATTTAACACTTTCGTCGCCCGGGGTTTCTCTAAGTAAATCGAAATTTCCTAAAACTGCCATTAGAAAGAAGTATTATCTCGATTTTAATGTTGAAATGTCCCTAATACTTTATACCTGGGTTTATGTCCAATAAATTAAATCAATAAAAATTGATTTAATTTATTGAACATATTGCAAGTGCACATATATGTATGTGTTACCGTAAAAGACCGAAATTGGAGAATGTCGACTTTTACTGGAGAATGTCAACATTCGCCAAATACGTCGGTGAAAGATCGAATATTTCTTTACATTCTTGTACATTCAGACCCTCACTGGTGTATGTCGACAATCACAGATATGCTCTGGTGTAGGTCGAAAAGAGAGGAGTACACGCTGTCATTCCAAAAGGAAGTGTTCCACAAATAAATGCAGTTGTAAAAGCAAGGGCCTTTTGTGCAATTCAAAGTGTCATAATAGTTTAAGTTGTTGCAATAAATAAGATTTGAATCACATAATTATAACTTCTATTATTTTCCTTTCTCATTTTGAATGTACTGTTTGTTTTAAGTTCTTATGTTCTTAAGTTCTTATTCTGAGTCTCAAGTGCGTTTTTTCGCGAATGAATTACGGAGAAGAAAATATAATATTCTTATATGTTCAACATTCACCATTAGTACATGGTGAATGTCGACATTGACCGGTGTAATTCAGAAATAAGAGTATTTGGAAAATATTTCGGACATACACCAAGCGACTATGTGAATGTTGATATTCACCGGTGAAAGTCGACATTCTCCAGATTTCGGTGTTTCATCGTAACATATATATATACGACAATACCGTTCACAGGGTTTTAAAGAAAAATTTTAAACATATTCTAGTAGGAAATGTGTAAAATGAAATTATGACGCATTTATTTTTTCAAGGTTGTTTTAAATTTATACTTTAGCGAAAGCTTCCAAATTTAATATTAAATAAATATTATCGTTAAAAAAGTAAATAAAGCGTCTTGTCAGAGAAAAAAGAAAGCAATATTCACTTTGATTAGCTCCGTTCCTTTTGTTTAATCTTTAAATATATTGCATCAGTGGCCTTCGAACTGAATTTCACGGAATTCTGTACACCGTGCAGTTACCGTACCTCTAAAATTAGTTGAATGCGAATTTGGGATTTTCACAACTCAAAATTAAAATAAAGAGAAAATGGTATCTGCCGACATAACATCGGTTGATACTTCTTTTCTAGTTGTTAAATTGCTGTAGAAGTTAAGTTCAATACAGTTGCTGAAAAGTTAATAAAATTATTGACCCAGGAGGGCTATCAATCCGGAAACGGCATTTTCCGTTGAATCACTATAAATGTCTGAATCACTTCTCAAATTGTTGCCACTAAACATTATCGCCCTATGTGAAGAATTTGCATGAATGTATGCATGTTTTTCACATTATGTAAAGACACGGTACCTAGCGCCATCAAATTTTGAATAACGTAGTTCTCCACCCGCATCCAAACAAATGGAAGACAGAATTTTGAATTTCTTTTATTGTGTATTTCCCATTTTATAAAACTTTAACCAATTTTTAATTCACAAACTCAGCGATTTCAAAGCGAGCAAGGGCACTGTATGAAAAAAAAAAAAAAACATTTTTTATCTCCAGCGCGCGATGTGTATCGGAAATTCTAAAGATAGGCTGTTTTCAAAGCCCAAAGGAACATTAGCTCAAATGCTCGCGAAACTTGTATATGTACGTAAATGGAAAAAACGTAATTTTGGGTGTAATAGGAAATCTGGAAGCTTTCAGATTTTTATTATTTTTGTTTTATCAACTTTAATATCTTACAAATTCGGTTAAAGTATGTTGATGAAAGTGACCGCTTGGACTTCACAGATCACTACGAGACATATTGAGGCAGTAACGCAATTATATAAAGACAAATAAATAACTCGTTTAATAATCTACTCTCCATCCTTTAGTGATGCAGTTAGATAATTCACTGAATGTTATTGGTTTGGCTGTCTTTTATGTTTTTGATCCTTAGAAGATATACTTTCATTGCAAGTTTCTCGTAGAGAGTACTAGTGAGAAAAAACATGAATAAACATTTAACTTTCTAAGGTTATTAGAGATTCCACCAAGAAAAGAATTATGAGTTCCCTGAACTAATGTTTGAAGACAATATGTAAACGATATTTTGACAAATCTGAGACATTTTTGTAATTGTTTTTCCATTACTCCCGTTAGGAAATCGATTCCAAAAATACTGGGTGGATTACACCGAAAGATTTCCAAAAGGCAATGGAGCAGCAAAAGATTTATACATCGTAAGTCTTTTTTTTTTATTTAAATCCCTTTCAGATTCAGGAACCATACAGGGAAGAACTGGCAAATACCAATGCTGATATGAAATGTATTGAACCAGTCCTAATTCTGTTATTTCTTTTTCAGAGACGAGATACAATACTTAATGGGTTGCTGTGAACCAAATCATGACGGTCTTATTGATTATAGGGAGTTTACTGAACGATTCCATAATCCAGCAAAAGACATTGGTTTGTATTAGCAAAATAATTAAATACTCATTTAAGAATTTAAAATGATTTTGTTCCGCATTTCTTCTAATTTATGCACAAAAACATGAAATTCTGTTTTAAAACTTTCATAAGTAGAATAAGTAAATGACATGGCGCAGACGATTTCTGTATGCAGTTTGGTTCAGTACAGTGGGTTAAACTCTGTTCAGAAAAAGGTTCCTGGGAATATTTCTTACTAATATAAAGGGATTAATAACTAATATAAGGATGTCATTGGGGAAAAAAGGTGTATTAATTAGTAGAGAAATCTGAAATAAATTCCATGTAATTACTTTTTAGGAAATCATTTTAGGAATCTTGACCATTGTTCCTTCTTAAACATTTGCATCGAATGATCATTATCCTAACTCCAATTTGAAAAGTGTGCCTACATGAAGAAATGGACGCCTCAATATCTGAGTCATTGTCCTCCATTTTATGGTGGATCACTCTAGGAGAGATATTGGGAAGCAAAACAGAAAATGGATTTATACTGTGTACTCTTTTTTTTTAGTTTTGCTGTTCTGTTTCATCTTTGCTTGTTCAGTCTACAGTTGTCTTTGTAATGTGCTTTTAGAAATTTAAAGAAACACTTTTTTAGGAAAAATGACTGGTAGGTATCTTTAAATTAACAGCCAACCTAAAATTTGTTTTCACTTTATGTCTTATTTAGCAGCTACTTTTCCATGTGCATGTTTGCAAAAATTTGCAAAAATATTTATTTTTTCGGGCTAGGCGTAAGCAAGTTTAAAAATTTCCCATAAATACCTTTCGTATGGAATTAATTTTACGCTACGGTCATCATATTATTGCTCGCACTTAAGACAAAAATTTAGCAGAAAAGGTTGTAAGGATTATGTTAATTTTATTAACAGTTAAATGTTAAGTTAAAGCTCCTTTCCTGTCAAATTCTTAACTTCTACTTACTATTTCCGGCCAGAACGTAGTTTTGGAATCTTGCTGAATATTTAGTGAGGAGGAGCGGTATTTAAACCACGAAGTTAATTACAGAGGCAGAGAGAATCAGAGTTTCTGATTTGCGCGCGTCTGCCTTTTTGGTCACTCTCTCTCTCTCAAAGCTGTTATTACGCTCGGCCGTACTCAGGCCCTTGCTAAGCTTCGTAGTCAAATACGTTAAGGGGCCAACTCGATTTGAACCTTGATAGCTTCGACTATATTTCTTTAGTTAATCTTATTTTTAGTTTAATTCTTAGTCTTTTAAGTTCAAGCCCAAGTGCGGGCTTTGTTTGTACACTCCCAGGCGGAGTTTTGTTAAATCTTGTTGGAATAATAAAGGGTTAGTTACCCTTGTATCTTGTTGTTTCTTGTCACCGAACTTAAGCGGTTATTTCGCTTATCAGTTCTTAGATTCTTCACTTCCAACATTAATTTAGAATTACAAAGTGAGGAACTCTACAAGGTACGAAGTTCAAAGGTTAACAATCGTAAGAATTAAGGTATAAATAAAATATGTTGAAATTTTGCATATCTGTTAACTTTTTAGATTACATGGTTGAACTCGAATTGATTAGGTTACTAAGTTATTGGAATATGGCAAAACACACAAAACGGCTATCTGCCTAAGGGGAAGGACGTCTTCGTGGAAGACCTTTCTAAAGGAAAATGGCTCCTATTCACGTTACACATGAAGAAAAGTACGAAACACAATCATGCAGCCACCCCATTCACCTGGAATCGAACCCATATCAAACTCCTAGTATTCAGGTGCCTTAATCGCCTGGCTACTGGTGGGGTGAATTTCGTATTGAAAGTCAATGCACAATAATAGCCAAAAGTATAGAAATATATCACTATGCTTCTACAACATCAGTTTTAATCATCGCATTTCTGTTTCGCCACACTAATAATGTAAACCTTTTATTTTTCATCATGTAATCAGGTTTTCTCAAATATGTAATAAATTAAAAAAAATAATGAAGAGAACGATGTTGTTATTTTAGGGTGTTTAATTATTCCTGACTGAAAAAAATTAAGAAAGTGATGCTGTAACTTTATAGGGTTCAATTATTCCTGATTGAAAAAAATGAAGAAAAGGATATTGGTACCTTATATTATTGTTTAGTAATATTTACATTTTTAATATTTTTCACAAAACCTTTTCTGTATATATTTAATTAAAATTCCATAAGTAATACCATTTCATCTTTTATTTCACAGGTTTTAATTTAGCTGTCCTGTTAACGAATCTCTCAGAGCACATGCCAAATGATCCAAGGTAAGCATTAAATTTCTGTATTCGCTTTTAAATTCCAAATGAACTGGGTAAAAATTCGCCAAATCAAAAGAATGAAGTGTTTTTAAAAGGTGTTCCATATAAAAATTTATAATTTCTTAAATGCGTCACGTTTGACTGGAATATCTTAACTAATTTCCAGTTTTTAACTTTGTTATTTCGTGTGTCATTTCGTGAATCATCGCTAGTATGTGTAGATATCATCTGGCGTTTTATTTCGGAGGAGACATGGCTTTATACCGTAGATGTATAAAGCCTTTACGGTATTCAAAGTCCGGACCTTCCGATACTAGCCGGACACCAGGATTGTAAAGAAGGATAAAATGTCTGACATTGTCCCCACTTAAAGGCAAATGGAGAGGAGTGATGGTGACGAATTATCGTCCACCACATTTCAGTTTGGGCGCCATTGTGGAGACATTTAAGACTTTTCGGTAAACCGTAGTACTGAAGTTGGATGTGAAGATGGATCCAACTTAAGTACTACGGTTTACCGTAAACCTTCATCGGTTTGCCTTCCACCACACTTTAAATCGTCATCCGACTAAAGTTAGCTTCATTTTATTCCCATTTTTTCCGTGCTCTTCAAGTTTGCTTCTCCAAACTATCCCTTGATAAAGAACTAAATTATTTAAAAGCAATAGCTGTTGACAGGGGCTTTTCACCCAACATTATTAATCAAGCAGTTAAGAAGTTCTCATCTCAACACACTAAAAGGCACACTCTTGTTTTAGGAGATTATAAAAATTCTGTTGTCATTCCCCTGTTTCCATCAATTAGCTCTAAAGTTGCACATATTTTGCAGAAATTTTACTTTCGGGTCGTTTATTCTCCCATCAATAAAATTCCGAGTTTCATACTCAAGGACCTCATTCCGGATATGAATTCCTGGGGTATTTATAGGATTCCTTGCCAGTGTGGTTTAATGTACATTGGCCAAACTAATCCTTAAAATTTCACGTCAGGGAACATGAGGCATATGTTAGAAAAAAGGAAACACAGAAGTATTCTGTTGCTCAACGTTGTTGGTCCGAAAATCACACTTTCAATTTTTCTGCTTCCAAAATTATTCAAAAAACATCTTCCATTACAGAACTGGATTTTCTAGAGGCATTTCACATTCAAAAAAATCTTTCTGCTCTAGTTAACGATCCTAATTCCAATCCATCTTTGCCTTTAAAGAAATTATGTTTTAGTTCTGGTTTCATCAACGTGTCTATACCAGAAGCGTGTCTCATTTTGAACTTATCTAATTTTGGAGGGAAACTTAGCTGGCTTTTGTAGAACTTTTTCCACTCAACTAACATCAGTTGCAAGGAAACAAATAGCGCTAGTAACTCTGAACACGAAAACCTGGTCTCATCCTGAACTAATTTGAATCTGGAGGGAAACATAGCCAGCTGTCACAGAACTGTTGTCCTTCAACTAACAACAATTACAAGGAAGCAAATAACATTGGTAACCCTTAACGCGAAAAACTGGTCCCATCCTAAACTTGCTGAATCCGGAAGGAAACTTAGCTAGTTCTTACAGAACTTTTTCCGTTCATCTAGCAACAGTTACAAGGAAGCATATAACATTGGTAAGCCTGAGTATGAGAAGCTTGACTCATCCTGAACTTATCTGAATCTGGAGGAAAACTTAGCTGGCGGTCACAGAACTTTTGCCATTCAACTAGCAGCAGTTACAAGGATTAGTTCGGGCACCGCTGTAGAGACATTAGGATTTTTTTTTTCGAAGCCAGAGAGATGAAAAATGAGCAAACACCTTCGCAGGGAACCGAATCGCGGGCCTCTGGAATACCGGCCCAGTGTGCAGAACTAGTACACCACGAAGGCACGCTAGGAAAGCGGGAGAAATACCTTACAAGTGTCACTGCCAACAAGTGCCACTGATTCGCTTCACGTATGTTAGGGGTTTTGGAATAACTGACGTTTGCCTGATCTAGGAAAACCTGATAAAGTTTTTATACATATTTTCGGAGTGAGCGAATGAAATAAGCAAGAGCAGATTAGTTAGAAAACCAGAAGTTTAACTATTAGTAAAATATTGAAGAACCTCCTAAATTGTGTTGCAGATTTTAATAACAAATCTTTGAGTAATCGAAAAATACACTGCCGAAAGTTAATTTTCTAGAGCTTATAAAAGTCTTTTGTTTCTCATATTGTATACTTATTTATAATATATCATTAGTCAGCACATAATGTCTTTGCTTAAGTAAATTGCATGAGACTGTAAAATCTCAAAAAAAGCATTCATAGAAAATTCTTATCATGTACTTTAATTTAGGTTGTCGAGATTCTTGGAAACTGCTAGCAGTGTTCTTAATTACTTCGAGCCATTCCTTGGTAGGATAGAAATCTTAGGTAAGTTAAAAATGCAGCAATGCTTCATTTGACATTTTCTCTGCATTTCTAGTCTAAAATCAAAATTCATTTCTTTAAATTTAGCTAGAGGAAGATATACTAAAAATTTTTAATAACGTTTAAAAGTTTAGATGCGGAATCAGTTTTTGAAAAGAGAGAAAGGTAGAATTATTATAATGTTGAAAATAATGTGCTATATGTAAAATATAAAATATGAGGCAAAATTATTAAACTTTATTGGAAACAATTAGCAATAGACATTAAAAAAATTAACATGAGAAAGTAAAAATTTTCATTAAACCCACCCGCGCTTACACTTTTAGCAGACGTACTGCACAATTTTCGCTTACCGAAACCTTGATCCACTTACCATGAGGTACACTTACTCATTGCTAATAGTAAAATGCGCATGAAAACTATTGCTTGCTACTTGGATCTACGAATAGTTCTTTCTTTTTTTAACACTTTTTGCGTGAGTGCTGTAGAAGGGAGTATCTTGTGTCCTGTAGTCACTAATTTTATTGCTGGATTTCGAAAAATGGCTACCGTAGCAGCTATAGACATAGATCTAGGCACCACATATTCGTGTGTTGGGGGGTATTTTTCAACATGGTAATCAAATACTATAACTATACTGAAATATAAATTAAATTCATATCAAGGTACTATTGCAAGGACAAAATTGTTACCTCAAGTTACAGTAACACACCACATTCTATAGCAAGATATTCTCACCATCGTGTTAAGGTATTGAAAATTGTCTTATATTTCCTTAATTGAAAACCAAGATTTATAACTGCCAATTGAAGAAGCTAGAAAAATTGTTCAAAAAATCTCATGTGTACACCACGTGATTTTCTTGTACGGAATATTAAATTGTACACATTCTTTCTTGCATTTCATTTAAACTTATTGGATTGAATTAAATCTACTTCGCCGACAACGCATAAACCACAATAAAATAAATGCATTCTTTAAAATTCACTCTATTTGTTTACCATAGCGACACTCTGGCGCTAGGTTCACTTAACAGTATTATATTTCGTTCATATTATAACTCAGAATACACAAAATTTATATCATTTAAAGAATTATCTAATCGTAATAAATCGCAAAAATACATGTATTAAAATTATTATTAAATTAAATATTAAAATTAAGTATTAAAAATTACGAAGTAAATATTAAACACTTATTTCCTCGAAAAAATTCCAGAAAGGATTAAGCATGATTTAATTCGCAATAATAAATGAAGGCGTTATCTTTGTTTGTTGCTTTACTTTGTTGTTTGTAGCGTTATCTTTGTTTATCAAGTTTCTCTAGATTGGCAACAAATCCACTATCCTGTTTCAAATGTAAACAAGCAATGGACGCCATCAAAAAAATTATTAGGCTTAGCGGCACTTAAACAACTTTAAAATTGTTGATAATTCTAAAATTATTGCATACAGATTTACTAAAGGCATAAAAACCTTAACCGGAAAATAAAAACAACATAATTCAATCATTTTTTAAATAAAGCAAAAAATGTACAATTTACAGACATATAAGAGTAAAGAAACTGAGATCACTGAGCCGGGTAACAGTGTGGATATATACTATATAAATATATTTATATACGTTTGGTGCGGCCGATTGCAACCAAAATACGAGGTGCACATCTACATGTTATAGCAGTCCTATATACAAAATTTCAACGTTCTGAGGCTACTCGTTTTTGAGTTATGCGAGATACGTACGTACGTACGTACGTACGTACATACGGTTCGTACAGACGCCACGAAAAATTCTCTTCAGAATTCATTTTAAAGCAGTTTTATATTTTTTTGGAGGAAAAGAGTATTTTATTCTGTCCTTACGTACAGATATCACGCAAAACCATCGTTAAATTGCATTCGAAAGCGGTCAAAATGGATATTTTCGTTGAAATATGCTGCCTGAAACTTTCCGCGATTACAATACTTCCTTTTTAATTCGTACAAGGAAGTAAAAAGGTCTATTGCCAATTGGTTCCAAGAAAGTTTAATAACTTTATTTCTTATTTTATATTTTATATATATTAATTAAATGTAATGTTTTGGAAGTGATGTAGATAGATGTTGAAGCACACATAGTAAATCCGGAATGAAGAATAAACTTGGAAGTCATATAGATGAAACAAGACGCAGCCGTAGCAGATTTAAAATATATTTCTTTTATTGTAGCTAAGCTTTTTGAGGACAATTTTCACTAGGCATACTAATCATGACTGTTTCAGAGCAGCTACATTTTTGATATTGTTGCCATAGGAACAAAAACATCCAGAATGTCTTAGCGAGGACAGAGGTAATTCAAAGTGCGCAGTTGTCCAACATAGTAAGAGAAAAAAACATTTCAATTTAAACTCCGAATTAGCTACATCATCATCGTTATGTAAAACTCGTGTGATAAGCTTAATCTAGAAATGATGCAGTCCAGAAAACGTTTTACTATTTTTAAAACAGAGATGGAAAGTTCTCAAATTAAAACGAAAAATTAAGGACTACTGCTAATTTAAATATAATTTATAGTTACATATATAGGAAGTAAATAAATTCTGTGATAATCAAGCAAATGAAATAAGATTATTAATTCATTATTGGTTAGGACCTAACCAACAAACCAATTCCAATTTATTCTGAAAGTTTAATTTTTTTTAACATGCCACTTTCTTCCTGAAACTGAAGTAGTTATACTTTTATTCCAATGTTTAAACAATTGGCCTGTAATTAAACTAAGTTTCCTTTAACTTGATTTCAATGAACTTTAATATCTGCTCTTTTTTTAATGTAATATGAGAGCATATCACTTGTAATATGATAACATTTTGCTTGCATATCCACTACAGCTCTGAATCATGAAATTTTTCTGATAAATAAAAGCATAATACTTTTGGATGTAATACGTTTACAGTTAGTTTAGAAGAATACAAAATTATTTATAGGATATTGAGCAAGGAAATTTTTACTTATAATAAATGAAATTCAGGTATGGAGGAAAATTTCTTCAGATGCAATTAATTTTCCAAAGCAGGGATGAAAAGTAAATTTTAATTTAAAGAGGAAAATTTATTGAGCTACCTTTCATTTCGCAAATCATTCTATATGAAAGAAACGGCACAACACATATGAAAGAAAACATGATTCCCTCAAAAAAAATTAATGCTTAAATTTATTTATTTCATCATTAAGCAATACTGAAGGATCTATTTAATTTTACTTTGTTATAATACATTTACTATAAATCATCAAGGAATTATCAGTTTTGATTAATTTGATGAATAGAATAATATAAATTTCTATTTAGAAAAGAGGTTTATTTTTATAGGTGGAGCAAATAGAATTGAACGAGTATATTTTGAAATAAAGGAGTCAACGATTGACCAGTGGGAGAAACCCCAAATTAAAGTGAGTAATACATTGTTTTTATAAAAAAAACTTTATTTGGGAAAGATTCGCGGATATCAATACGAAATGCTATTCCCTTTTGCACTATTTTTGCTTTTTTATGTGTGCATGTTCCTTCAATTTTTATTTATTCTTAAGGTTTGTTAAAATTTTGAATTATATTTACTTAGGAATCAAAGCGAGCCTTTTTCTACAGCATTGTCACAGAGGGAGGTGATAAAGGAAAATTGGAAGCTTTCGTTAATTTCTGTGAAGATGCAATTTTTGAGGTAAATTCGTAAATTATTGATAAATCGAAAAACTAACCTTAGAACATTGTATATTTCATACTACAGTACTACTAAACTCAAGTACTGGATTACTGTTAAACTCAAAATAGTACAGAACGTTTCGATTGCTGATTTTAACCGGAGAGACTAAGAGAGGAAATTTATTGAAAGCGATATTATTTATTGAAAGCGATATTGCGATATAAAAAATCGTATGGATTTTCTTATGCATTGAATTTTTAAAGCAATTTTGTGTGAGGAGTTTATAATCGAGAAGTAAATATTTCCGTACTCTGGTAAAATTTTCAAATTATTAAGAGATCTAAGTTAGGAGTAACTGTACCAATATATTTTCGATGTAAATAAAAGATTAGTTGAGCAGTAATTCCCCATGTGAATGACCATAACTTACATTTGTAGAGACATTAAGTTATTTCGAAGCAGAAGATTTGAAAAATGAGCAACGCCTTCGCCGAGAATCGAACCACGGACCTCTGGAATACGCACCCAGCGTGCAGACCACCACACCACGAAGACATGCCAAGAAGGCGGGAGAAATACCTTATACATATACTTCAGGTGTTATTCGCTGTTCATTTGAATAGCAGCCGATATAAATGAAAATATTCGCTCAACAGTATTTTTAAATGATATAAACTATTCAAAATCTAAAATTAAAAATTCATTTATAAAAATAACCGCCCAGACGGGAAAGTAGTTAGTGACTCTGACTGAGGTTTCTGCAAAGTTAACATCCAATAGAAAAAAAAAGTATTTACGTATTAAATGCAACCACCTTGACCACGTAGATGTAATGACTCGAACGTACCCAAACAACAATGAGATATTAAATAAATGACATTTTCCTTGATACATTGTGATCTTCAGTGTTTGCCATAACCATTTTCCATTGACTCAGCTTAACACGCCGCCACTATAAGCCTTCCAGAATGCTTTCTGTCTTCCCAGTTCTGGATTATGAAACTATATTGTACTTAAGATACGTGTATTTATATGTCACAAGTACTATTTATCATATGTTGTATTTACGTCCCTACGTCCTTGCCTGTTTTCGCAGATTCTGTCTCTTGAAGTTTGAGAAGAGGACATTTTGTGCTGTTCATCATTCTGTAGAAAGCGCATGAAAACAGAAATATTAATATATATATGAATAACTGTATTCTATAATGCATGAAAGGCAGTTACAGTTATTATTTTCAGCATATTTCTTTTTATTTACATAATGCACATTGCTATTTATTCATAACTTGAAAGTTGCTACAAAAATTCAAAAGCCTCTAAATTTACGATGCAAAAGCGAGGGGAAGTGCGTGAAATGTAAACATGCGAAAGTAATGTGTGGCGTTTGCTTTCAGTGTTATTTGATATGATTTGATAAGTTTCTTTTTGCAGCTGGGAAGGCTGAGTTTTTTTTCCATGCAAATTAACAGCAAATTCGTTTTAGCTTTACAACATTTCAGCCTGTGAATAATTTTATCAAACCTCTTTGCCTTTCGCCCACTCTCTCTATATCTCTTATAACTCAATCTACATATCTATATAATATATATCTCAGATATATCTGTTACCGTGAAAAACCGAAATTGGAGAATGTCCACTTTCACCGGAGAATGTCAACATTCGCCAAATATCGTCGGTGAAAGATCGAATATTTCTTTACATTTACTTGTACATTCGGACCCTCACCGGTGTATGAAGACACATCATCAAGAATATTTTATGTCTGGTGTAAGAAAAGAGAGGAGTCTATGTACACGCCTGCCATTCTAAAAGGAAGTGTTCCACAAATAATGCAGTTGTAAAAGCAAGGGCCTCTTGTGCAATTCAAAGTGTCATAATAGTTTAAGTTTTGCAATAAGTAAGATTTGAACATAATTGGTAAGTTTATAACTTCTATTATTTTCCTTTCTCATTTTGAATGTACGGTTGTTTTTAAGTTCTTATTATTCTTATTCTAATTCAAGTCTTTTTTTCGCGGATTCTGAAAGGAAATATAAGTATTTTTTAGCGGATGAATTACGGAGAAGGAATATAATATTCAACATTCACCATTACATGGTGAATGTCGACATTCACCGGTGTAAGTCAGAAATAAGAGTATTTAGAAAATATTTCGGACATACACCAAGCGACTATGTGAAAGTCGACATTCTCCAGATTTCGGTGTTTCACCGTAACAGATATGTATATATATATATATAGAGAGAGAGAGAGAGAGATAAGAAGTAGTTGACGATGCGTGAAGTAAGTACGATTGTACTAAACGTTAGAAATTAGGCGCTAAGTGCTAGAGACTCTTAATTCAACTAAGTCTTTGACTATTTGTTTACGTTACTTCTAATTCTCAGTGAATTAGTCGGAACGAAACGTGTTTTAGCTATCTAGTTGGTCAACCTGGTATGGAGTTTCAAAACACTTTTCCCTCGACAAGTTCAGTTAAAGCTCCAAGCAAGGGAGATTAACCCATGCATTAGTACTTTTTCTTTTTATTACTTTCGCATTACACTAAGTTCACTATTTGTTTTAGTATTCTTGTTTTTACCTTACTGTTATAATGCATTACAAAAACAAAACAAAAAAAACTTGGTGGAATTCATGTCTTCTTACTGATTGGTTGGATACTCATCTTGACTTATATATATATATGTAATGAAACTGCGGTTGGATGACACGACATGACTGATTTGATTGAGAATGCGGCACAAGCTTGCATTAAAAATCTTTGGTGAACAGGACTTTTCCCATGATTCACTGTGAACATAGCTTAACAAACTTGTGTAGAATTTTTCATAATTGGAACTGGCCGAAGAATGCAATGACAGAACACTTTTGGAGGCACTCAAATACGAACACTGAGACGTAGATGCGTAGAAACACTAATTGCGTAGATACTTGATGCTTAGAGCGTCCATCCATTTTTAAAGAAGGGACAGTCGAACCGGATTAAATTCCTTTTATTTATTTAAATTCCCATTTTGTGGCCACAATTCATTTGGTACTCTACTCGTGCCTATTAAAGAACATTTAAAGTTTTGATATTATTGCCATAGAAGCGAATATAGCAGCACACACATGATTGGGGAAAGGCGTCTGGCCAAGAGGAAAGCATAAGCAAAAGTGACGCATCATTTCATAGAAAGAACGGAGGGAGTCAAAAGTTTCTGTTTTTAGTTTTGGTTTACAATTTGATGATTGGTCAAGAGGCATCTGCATTAAGGGTTACGTAAGATCGCATTATTAATTTAAATGGCGCAGTTTGGACTTAAGCGCTATTTTAAGGCCAGATAAGAGGTTACAGTGAATTAAATTTAGAAGTTTGCTTTCATATTTTTAATCTTACACTTCATGTCTTCTTATTGATTGGTTGGATATTACGTAAGATCGCATTATTAATGCATTATAATGATTGGTTACGTAAGATGGCATTATTAATTTGAAAGGCGCAGTTTAGACTTAAGCGCTATTTTAAGGACAGATAAGAGGTTATAGTGAATTAAATTTAGAATTATGCTTTCATATTTTTTATCTTACACTTCATGTCTTCTTACTGATTGGTGGGATACTCATTTTGACTTATATATATGTATGTATATGTACATGTTGGAATTGATTTCCTTCCCCCCATGCCACGCAGAATGCTACAGTGCTAACAATAACCTACCTAAGTAAAGCGACAAAATTTCTCTTGGGATCTTCGTACGCTTTGGTTACTGTGTACAGTTTCCGCTTAGGACAGGATTGCAGTTTCTGGCATCAATAGCTAAACATTGATGCTAAACAAATGAGAAGGAAGGTGTATTGCAATAACAGAACTATCTTTAGTTGCTTCAAAAGAATGATTGGCAACTCCCGAAAGCAATGAGCCGTGCACCCACGTGATGAGGGAAAGCACCAGGTAGAAAATGAGTCAGGCGTTCGGGTGACCTGGCAATTGTCTGAATGATCGGGCGTTATGGGCGAATTCGATGTGAAAGAGTCAAGTAGAATTTTTATAGTAATTCCTCATAAATATGTCCTATTTTATGATCTGTTAGTCAGTGAAATTTCGGGGTCTAAATTACCTTTGATGGTCAACCACTGACAAAGAGAGCAAGTGACAAATATTGCTTTGTTTCCTTGACAAATTAGAGTGATTATCTACCTTGCAATGAACAGACTGCATTTTTTAACACGTATTCTACTTGTTTAGATGCAACATGCCAGCAGCATTTCTATGGAAGACGAAGAGGAAGCTCCAAGTTGTGCATCAGCTTATCCATTCCCAGGGGCAGACGATGAGCCACCGTGAGTATTTTTATTTAAAATCGAATCATTTTAGTTGACATATATTAATTGAGAACTGTAAGACTCATAAAGATAATGCAAAAATAGCTGAAACGAAATGCGGTTACGATGCATATTTGGTTGCTGTTAACAAGCCTGGTATTCGGTTTGATCCATCCCAGCACTTTTAAATGCTGTGTGTATGGGTGAAATAGAGAAAGTGATAATGTTAGAGTGAATGTGTGTAATACAGTGAAGGGAAATGAGTGAGTTCAATGAATTGTAATAAAATAGGTGTTTATATCGGCTCAATCCATAAGTTCGTGCGCATTAAGAGTATGCGTGGAATTCACGATGACGCATTTACTAAAACAATACCATTTTGAACTTGTTCAAACTTGTCATCGTTTGAATCACCAACTTTTGTAACTATCGAACGCATTTTAGTACCCATAGAAGATGAATATAAATAATCAGTAGAAACGTGCCATGCTACATGTTTTAAAAATTAAGAGTGTACATGGTGAACGCACTATTAGTGTAAGGACTACCCAGAAATGGTTTAAAAACTTTTAAGTTGGAAAAAGCAGCATTGACGATGAACCCTTTCAGGACGTCTGAAACTGTTAAAACCAAATCAAATGATTCATTCAGAAGTTTATAGTGAACAACTTTGCCGTCTGAACTGTGAATGGTTTAAACCTGAATGGTTAAAACGCCCACGATTGGTGGATATCAAGAAAGTATTTTTTCATCATGATAACGCTAGACCGCACGCGGCTCGAACAACGCCGCAAAATTGAGTGAATTTAATTAGGACCTTTTGCCACATCCTGCTTACTCCCTAGATATTGCCTCAAGTGATTTTTACTTATTTCGTGCCTTACAATTTTTTTACTGGGAAAAAAATTAAATTCTAAACAGGATGTAAACAATGAACTTTCAAGTTTTTTGCATCAAAACCAAGGTCTTTCTACATCAATGGCATAAAAAAGCTGGCTGTAAGATGGCGAGACATTGTAGATAATGGAGAAAAATATATAATTGATTAAAATGTTAAATTGTGTTTTTTTAATATTATTTAAAAATTTACCAAAAAATGCGCACGAATTTATGGACTGACCCAATACTTATACCTTCCTAAAAATTGAGATTTTCGTGTGATAAAAGAGATTATTCTGATGATGTAGTGGTGTATTTAATTATGGCGAAGCACACTAAGGCTATCTGCCTAAGGGGAAGGATGCCTTCGTGGAGCACTTTCTAAGGGAAACTGGCTCGTATACACGAGATTATTCTGAAAGATTTAATTCACTGAAATACTTTTTTTCGAATTTTCATTTTATCCTCAGAACGTGTTTTCAGAATTCGTTTAATGCGGGATTTTCTTTAACCAGTTTAGCAAACGTATATGCACGAATTTATTTTTGTTATTATGCACATATAAAACATATATAATGTATTTAAACAGGTATAGATATAACCTTCTTAGTTATGTTTTTTATAATATAACAGCTCGCACATTGAACTGGTATTTTAAAAGTCTGTTGTTATGCTGTTCCTCTCTATGAATAAATCTGTGAGAAGTTTCTTCACAGATTTTTCTGCATTTCCCACCATGAAACCGATTATACCAGCAATCCTAGTGGTATATATTTTTGTTTTTATTTTTTTAATATTTTCTTTTGAAACGAACGGCTTTTCTAAGGTGTTTTTTTTAAATAAAACTAGTTTGATAACGAATAACTTACATAATAACGTGTCAGCTTAGTGTTAAACAAACTGTACAATAATAGAAATTTAATAGCTGCTATTTTGCAGGGAGTGCATAAGAAATGTTGAAATCAAATTAAAGTATTAAATAGAAAGTAACACGCGTCTTTTAAGCTTTGCCTCAGCCCTAAATATTTATGAAACAATTGCGACTAGCGAAGCTAAAGCTGATGAATTACCGCATTTGCCAGCGCATTATTCATTATTTATAATAGTAGAAATAAACTCTTTTATCTCTTCTTAGCTAAATTCTCATGAATACTTATAAAATTCCATCAACATTTTAATTAAATTCCTTGAATTTGCATCATAAAAAATTGAAAAATATTTTAATGAGATTTCCTGGATAATTTAAAGAAAGTTTTAAAGTCTTTGTAAATATTTATGAGCGATAAAATTTCGTTCAATCTTCTTGCGTCATGTGTAAGTAAAGTGTCTTTTTATGAAAGAGTATTTAATTTAATTGTAAGATTGAGAAATATCTCTTTAACACTATTTATGTAATTTGAGAACCTAATTAATTCTAACTTAACATTATTTAATTTTTTAAATAAGAATTTTAATTTTTGAAGTCAGAAGAGCATTAAAAATGCATTTTATACAAATTAAAATATAGAAGGAAATTTGAACGATTTCTAGACTCGATGCCTAATAGCATCAATTTATTAACATACTAGCAGCTTCGCTGCCAGCCTTAGTCTGGCTTTTAAATGTACCGGAAAAATGGCTGAAGGGAACACCAAACGTTAAATTTAAAAACTGCGTAGAATTTTACTCTGCAGAACAACTTCATAAAAAAAATATTACGTATTAGAAGTCATAAATAATATTTAACACGGAATTTACGAATAATAAAACGCATTATTCTTTAAATAAAATGACAACAAAGTATCGGCATAAATAACTTATCCAGCAATGGATTTACCATAAGTCGTATTACTCGCCAAAAGAAAAATTACCAAAATCCGTGCAACCGTCTACCAAAGTAGCACAAAAATACAATGAAATAAGCTATATCCCTTAATACAAATATTAATTATCCCAATAAAAAAACTTTCCGTTGAAGAAAAAAAATCATGCAAAACTTTTCAATATCTTACAAACAGTAAAATAAGCAAAAAATAACATGAAAGAAACTCAAAAACAAAAAAAATCCGCGCAGAATTTTACTCTGCAGAACAACTTTATAAAAAAAACATCAATAAAAATGTATTATATATATAAAAGAATGGCAATAAAATAGGCCAATCTCTTAAAAACAGGTGACATAAGAAATACGATGAAAAATTGTTCCCAAACCCATATTTCTAAAAGAATGAAACTATTCAAATTGATGCGATTTCATCAAAAATCTAACAAATTGTTGCCAAAATCACATTTGTAAAGATGTGAGATGTGAGAAGGGTACTCGGAAGCTTCATTTAAATTTTTTTTAAATACAAAATATTATCATTTTTCCAAAATTCTTTTTGTATAAGCAGTCGCAAGGATGAAAGTTTAACGTGTCCAAAAATCAAAAAAAAAAAAAAAAAAATAAACTGTACATTTTTAAACATAAACTTTTTTAGAAAAAATCCCGTTGAAAAAGTGTTAAGCTCACTTTGTTAAATAAATTCGTATTTAATCGATTTATTGAAACACGAAATTTATTTTAAGTTCGTATAATAGCTAAGTGCCTACATTTCATGACGATGTGAAAATGGAGTGCGTAGAGTAGAATCTTGCTTTCCTATAGCCCATTATGTCTCAAAATGACGCGATTTCGTCACAAAACATAAAATTTAAAAAATTCTAATTCGGATTTCGAAAAAATCGCTTCGCGGTGCACTGGCTCTTGTCTAGATGCACCTATGTACCAAATTTCGTAGCCGTGGGTCTATTAGCTTACGCGCAGCGCGAACGAAAGACACACACACACACAAAGACAAACTCTTTGTTTTATTATATGCAGAGACTATTCGAATAATTTTCAAACGTATGGCTCTGAAAAGAGAAACGAATAGCTAGCGTATCTCTGAAATAATTTTAGCTACCTGAATAAACAGTAGCAATTCAGTCAAAGATACATAAAAATTGAGAAGAATTATTTTTTCCCCTCGCTTACGAGTTCAGAAACGAGGAAAGGCCATTTTTAACTGTCTTGATTGCATAAGGACTCTTAAAAGTCAGTAAAGACAAAGATTTTCTTCATAGGTGAGTGGTAAGGCAAGCAGAGATTTAAATGCCCATACTTTACATTATAATTTAATAGTAGTATTAGGAGCATTTTAAACCTAAAATATATGGACAATAAAGAAATTTAACTAAATTTGTGTCTTACTTCAAACGATTATAATTTAACAGTTGACTTTTATGTGAAATATGAGTTAATGCTTTATTTTGAATTGCTTAAATTCCAATTGACATCTGGGGCCCACCAGCGGCCGAGCGATAAAATCGCTGAACACTGGTAGTTCGGTCCGAGGTTGGAATCCCGCAAACGGGCTGGCTGCATGGGCGTTTTCGTGGTTTTCCCAATGTGTAACGTGTATACGAGCCAGTTTCCCTTAGAAAGTCCTCCACGAAGGCATCCCTCCCCTTAGGCAGATAGCCCTAGTGTGCTTTGCCGTATTCTCAATACACCATACACACCATACACCACCAGTTGACATCTAACAAGAAGTAATCTTAATGTTTCAAAGCACTACTTTAAATCAATGCAGGAACTCTTACATTTGTATAGAATTTTAGAACTTTTAAATTTCACCTTTTAACTTCATTAATATCTGTGCTATATTTTTTCTTGTATTTCTGTAATATTTATATCATATGTTGTACTTGTTTTATAGATCAGCATTTGACCCAATCAAGAAAGGTTTGAATTACTTGAAGAATCAAATATTTGGCTCTCTATCATACCTGACTCCATCCAACATCAAGAAACAAATTGCTATCATGAAAACGAAAACATTGCCAGAGCTTATTAAAGCATTTTTCTTCACATTATTCTATAGCATGTTTTACACGGGCTGGCTATTCTATTCCACAAGCAAGTAAGAGCGATTTTAGAATACTTGGTTTATATTACAAATGCTATTCATAATGTACCGGTTTAGCAAGAATGTAATTTTGGCTTTTAAGAATGAAATAAAACTCAGTTTTTTTATACAAAAAATTATCTTTAATCAGTCAAATATCTTCATACTATTTCTTGCAACTTCCAAATTCCGCACTCACAGAAGTTCAGGTCTTAAAAAATTCAAACAAGGGAACTCGGTTCCTTTGCAATTCGCCAACTCTGACTTTTTCTCTTTGATTGCTTCTTCCAGTTTCATAAATTGTTGGCAGTAAACATGTGAGATGATCGTTTGGTTGCTTGGAATCACTTCAAAATACACAATACCTTTGTAATCCCACCAAACTGATACTGTTTGGTGCTGTTTCTGGTGCAATCTAGTTTTCGATATGATTTGTGCTGATTCATCATGCCTGGACCATGAGCCTTTTCGATGAATGTTATTGTAGACTATATATTTTTCATCTCCAAAGATAATTCGTTAAAAAAATTGGGTGGATTGCATTTCTTTTGAAATGCGAATCGCAAATATTGATTCTTTGTGTTAAGTAAATTTCTTTTAATTCATGCAGAACCCAAATATCGAGCATCTTAACGAGTTCAAAACATCTTATGTGATTTTCAATTGTTGTGTGTCACCTTTTTGAAATCGCTCGCACAGTTGTATGACGATTCAATTCAGTTACGGCTTTAATTTTGTCATCAACAACTTCAGAAGGTCAGCCAGGATGCTGGGCATCTTCATGTTTAAAAAATCTCCAGAACGAAATTTTTTTCACCTGTTATGATATTTACGTTCTGTTAAACAGTCAACACCATAAACTTCACATATCTCTTTATCACCTTTAGCAGCTTATTTTTCTTATGAAAATAAAAATGTAAAATATTGTAAGGATTATGTTAATTTTATTAACAGTTAAATTTTAAGTTAAAGTTCCTTTCCTGTCGATTCTTAACTTCAACTTACTACTTCCGGCCAGAAAGTAGTTTTATAATCACGTCTGAATACATAATGAGGAAGAGCAGTATTTAACCCCGAAGTTCGTCCATCTTAACGAGAGAGTTACCAGGTATTCTGTCTGCACCCGTCCGCCTTTTTAGGCTACTCTTTCGTAAGCTATTATTACGCTCGGCCGTACTTAGGCTCTTGTTAGCTTCGCAGTCAATTAGTGTTAAGGGGCCAACTCGGTTAGAATCTCGATAGCTTCGGCTATATCCCTTTTTAGTTTAGATTAGTTTTAGTTTACTTCCTAGCCTCTTAAGTTCAAGCCCAAGTGTCAGCTTCTACTGTGCCCTCCAAGACGGAGTTCTGTTAAATCTTATTTGAATAATAAAGGGTTATTTACCCTTTCATCTTGTTGTTTCTTGTCACACGAATTCAAGCGATTATTCGCTTATCAGTTCTTAAGATTCTTCACGTTCAACTGTAACTTAGCATTTACAAAGTGAGAAACTCTGCAATATGTTGAAATAGCAACCTAAAAGTGTCAGCTACCAAATGTCAAAAGAAAAAAATTGTAAAATTGACAAAAGAATAACAAAACGAATATAATGCTATATACTTGTGCAAACCGAAATTACATTCTTGCCAACCCAATATTTTTATATATTATGTGAACCCGAATATATAATTAATTTTAATGAGTCTAGTTAATGTAGTTTCATAAAAATATTTCATGTTTTTTAATAATAAACTAAAAATGCTACTTTATTAGTTGCAATTTAATTAATATCTCCAGTAAAACGATTTTAGATTTTAGACGTAGTATAAGTAATAAAATGAGTTATAGTGAGTACAACAGCTCATTGTGTAATTTATTTAATGTGACAACTACTTTTAATTGTGTTTCTAAAAGGACTAGAATAAAGGTTTTAAAAATATTATTTTTCAGTGTATAAAAGCATCTTATAATCTAACAATTTAAATACGGAGAATGAAAAACATGCAAAAGTTCTTTCCTTCACATCTTCGTAACAATATGTTATTTTTTGTGCGTTATTTATTATATATATTCTCCATACTGATGTTACTTCAAATATCGACTGTTTCGTTTCTTTTTTTTTTATGGAAAAATTTGATGATTGGAGGCAAAGTCGTTCTGTAGCTGTCGTCATGTACATTATATTTGCAGAAAAAAATCCTTTTTGACTTGACGAACGTCTCTCAGACAATATTGGAAAAGGTCGAGAAAGGAGCTTATGAAAAATATCATAAACTATAGAATAGATTGGACATACTAAACATAATGAAAACTGAAGAATATCCCAACAAATTACTAGCAGAGTTTAGCTAGTGAAGATAGCTGTACATAAAGGCTTTAGATAAGAATATAACAGCTCAAATAACGATTTGTAATTTTCATACTTTAAAAATATGTAAATATACTAAAATATGTAAACTACTAATGATTTACATGATCAAAAAAAAAGGCGAACAAAATTATTTTTTATAAAATGTATAATCATTCGGCGTTAAAAAAACCTTTTATAAATTAAAAAAAAATGCGAATGTAAATAAAATTTATTATTAATTAGATTTATCGTGAATTAAATCCATTTCTGTTTAAAATCAATCAATTATCAAAGAGTTTATGAATTATTAAAAATTACGTTGCATTACTAAAAAAAACCTGAAAAAATATTATTAAGCACTTCATTTATTCTTTCTAAAACTCTTAGTCTGTTAATTGGCAGATTTGGATATTAAATTAAATTTTGCTGAAAGGCAAATACTGGCGCGTGGAGGATAAAAACATTTTACTTTGAGCAGTGGTAACTCATTGTTTACCCGTTACCACTGATTGGGTTTGTTAATGAAAAATTCATTAAATTCGCGCAAAACATGACATAAATAAAAGAACAAATTCAGAATTCGGACTCTAGGCGCACATAATCAGCCCTATTTGCAATAAAAATTTAATAGCTCTAAGGTTGCTGCCATTTCCTCATGATGCGGGGAACAAACGCACATACAGGTTCTGTATTATTTAATAACACAGATAAATACTTCGAGTTACTTTCAGCCACAAGTTTTACATATGAAAGAATTATCTGATAACATTGACGCATATTTCTCCTTAGAGTGCATCTCATATTACACTGAAAATATGCGTATTTTGATTACATTATTATTTGTTGAGTTATTACTATTTCTTATACTATAGGAGCATATTCCATGTGATTTTGTTGCTGATGGGTGGCCAGGCACTTGTTGAAGGTGTAGAAGAGGAAGTGGAAGATCTGAAGCAAGATATCTGGGCAAAACCGGCGATAATGCCTATAGAAGCGCCATTACCTATAGAGCCGCCTCCAGCGGAAGTGGCACCAGAAACCGGAGATCGAGTAGCAGCAATGCAAGCCTTTGGTGTTGATATAACAAAAGATGAAGCTGGAGGAGAAGCAAAGTGAGTATATCAATTCTCATATTTTGAGTTTTCAAAGCCTCATTAGTTTAAATAGAACTAAGCAAATTATCGCTATGTAGAGTTAAGCAAACAGAAACATGTGAAAGATGTAAAAGACCCTTTTATTAAGAACTCAAATAGGCAAACAGAAGCCATACGTTGCTTACCAATCAGCCATTATTTATGGCGTAAACTTAAAATATAAAAATCAGCCATTAAATGGCGTAAACTTAATAGATAGCAAATTATTTATGGCGTAAACTTAAAAATAGAATTTTAAAAATAGAATCAGTTATTATTGTAAATTTAAAAATAGTATCAACCATTATTTATGGCGTAAACTTAAAAATAGAATTTTAAAAATAGAATCAGCCATTATTTATGTCGTAAACTTAAAAATAGAATCAACCATTATTTATGGCGTAAACTTAAAAATAGAATCAGTCATTATTTATGGCGTAAACTTAAAAATAGAATCAGCCATTATTTATGGCGTAAACTTAAAAATAGAATCAGCCATTATTTATGGCGTAACGCAAAAATAGAATTAGCCATTATTTATGACGTAAAAATAGAATCACCATTATTTATGGCGTAAACTTAAAAAGAATTTTAAAAATAGAATTTATGGGAAATTAAAATAATTATTTGATGGCTTACAACTTAAAAATAAATATTTAAAAAAATAGAATCAGAAATTGTCGTAAAAAAGAATCAAACCATTATTTATGGCGTAAACTTAAAAATAGAATCAGCCATTATTTATGACGTAAACTTAAAAATAGAATCAGCGTTAGGCAAACTACAGCTTATTTATGGCGTAAAAAAATAGAATTAGCCAATTATTATTGACGTAAAATTAATCAGCCATTATTTAGGGCGTAAACTTAAAAAGTAATCAGCCATTATTTATGACGTAAACTTAAAAATAGAATCAGCCATTATTTATGGCGTAAACTTAAAAATAGAATTTATGGTAAACCTAAAAATAGAATTTTAATTAAAACTTAGTTAGTAATAGGCTATACAGAGAATATTTAAACGCACAAGTTGGATGTAACCTACACTGGCGTGATAGCACTATTGCAAGATCAAAACAATGCCGTAGACAGGAATGCTGTGGTATAATATCAACTAGTAACGTGGCCTTCAACAGGCTGAACATGCTCTGAAGCAATCTCAAACCTTCATTTAAACACTCGTGAGATAAAATTTGCATTCCGGTAGGAAAACGGAAAGGGGAAGTGACAGTAAAGTTTCGAAATAAGCGAAATACCTTACAAGCTTGCTATAGAGATAAATAGGAAAACCGCCTTTCATTATTAAGACAGGACAGAAAAGTATTTTGCAGTTTCTAGCTGAATTATGGAGAAATTTACTATTAAAATAATTTATGAAAATAATTATGGAGAAATTTGCTAATTAAAAGAAACTGTAAATTCATGATATTTAATTCTTCGCGTTTGTACATATATAAGCATTGTTTAATAAATGTTATTTTAATGAATTCTAGTCAAAATAATTGTGGCAGCGTAAATAATTAATGCAACTATAAACAAAAGATTTTTTTCTAAAGTAAGGTTAAAATCTTTTGCTTTTCATAGTGTAATTAAAATAAAATTAAAGAATTCGAAATGAAATCAGTTCTGGCAACTTAAATAATTATCGTTATATGCTGGTAATACTACAGGATATTGCCTAAAATAATTTGACTAATTGCAGTGCACTCCATCAAAGTTCCCTGATTTAAGCATAAAGATCATTCTTAAATATAACATTGCCTTGGTCTAACACAAGAAGCATTTCTAAAGATTCGCTTCACTGACGCTTGATTTTTAACTTTTAAAGCTGTTTTTAAATTGTTATGGTAATACTCTGGAAAATAAGGAACCTGATAATATGCAGAGGTTTGCACTTGATTTTCGTATGCAATCACATAAAATGACTGGAATTTTTTAACTGGCTTTTAACCTTACATTTTGTATAGCCACGTTAAATGCAAAAGTAATTAACATTTGTTATGTAATGAATATTTATGTTTATTACAAAATGCATTAGAAATATAAGCTCTGCAATCAGAAGTTTCTTTATTTTAATCAAAATAAAAAAAAAAGAAAATCATCACATTAAAACAAGAAGAAATAGCACGTGTACCATTGAGAATTTTGCTTTCAGTTTAGATTGAGATACCATTATGCAGGAGAAAAATTCAAAGGATTAATACAAATATTAAATTAAGTATTTTCAATTTTGCTTTAATTTATTGACTTAATTAATTTATTGACTTAATTAATTGATTTTAATAATTATTCTAAGGATATCTGGATTTTTGTTTACAGCTGAGACTCCCCCCCCTTCTAAAACTGGACGCCATTGACAGCGGATGCTCTTTGCTGCTGCATATTCATCAACATAATTTTAAACATAAGCATTGCTGTAGATAAAGTCCAAATCATATTTAGACTTTTCATTATATAAAGTTAAATATATTCTCAAATAAAGGAGAAAAACTGAACCTGAGTACAAAAATACTATATTAGTACTACTTATTGTTTATAAACAAATTTGCTTCTATATTTATGTGTTGTTACTCTTCTAGAAGTTAATTTTAATGGTAGTATCTTATATTCATCAGAAATTAACTTAATAAAGTAATGAAAGTTAATTTTCATGGAGGTTTTTGTTTGCTTTTTCGTAAATATGCAATTTTAATAACTTCACTAAACGTTTTAGCAGCATTAGAACATGTGCTTAATAATATAATCAAAGAAATTGAGAGCTTCATATTATAGATAAAATATGCTAAGTATTTTTATTCTTTGTTCGAAACAATGTAATATATTCAGTTGTTTCACTTAAGAAGGTATCAGTTTAATGTAAGACGGAAAACAGTGATGAAGAAATCCTTAAACTCATATATTATGTCTTCAGAAAGCTAATCATGATTTTAAATTCAGTTTTTAACTAGCGTCACGTGGTAATAAAATATCTGATGTGGACACCACATGACTTCCTTGTACGGCCTATTAAACTATGCACATTTTTTGCTGCATGTCACTTAAATTTATTTTCTTGAATTTCATTAGAGATATGTTTCTCATTTAATCAATTCAGTTCTTACCTCGTGGCAAGGCAAAAATAAATCTGTGCTAAAAGACACTGAATTTGGTGCACCAACTGACTTAATTCACTGTTCTAGCAAGCATTTCAAATGTAAACAAATAGCGGCCTCATTAGGCTTAACGCCTCTTAAACTTTAAAATTGTTGAAAATTCTTCAACTGATGCTTGTAGATTAACTAAAAGCACAAAAACCCTAACCGCAACATAAAGAATAACATGATTCAATTACATTTAAAACAAAAAAAGCACAATTTACTAGTTTATTAAGAATGAAAAACAAACCTCAGCGAGGCGGATAAGAAAGTGTGTATGCAACAAAAAAAAAAAAAAAAAAAGGAAGTTTTATAAGAATCCCATATTTCAACGTTCTAAGACTAATAGTTTTTGAGTTATGCGAGATATATTCATACCTACATTCGTACATACGTCACGAATAATCCTTTCTGAATCCATTTTACAATCCGTTTGGGAAAACGTAGTCCTTTCCATACGTACAGATGTAACGGAAGGGGAAAAAAATCTTCTATATGGAATTCGAGACCGGTCAAAATGGATATTGTCACTGAGATATGATATCTGAAATTTTTGCGATTACAATATGTCCTTTACTTCTTACAAGGAAGTAAAAACTCATTGTTTACCTGATAATTTAAAAAAATTTAAAGCGTTTTTATAAAGTAAGCTTTCATTTGAAATTCATAAAATCGCTAGGGAATTAAGAGGGGAAACTGAGGATGACGGTTCGTTGAAACCATTGAAACTATTCCTGTGAAAATTTGCAAATATAACGCTGATTTTTGTCATTTGACTTCTAAATTAATGTTTGTTCGGCGTGTTATTTTTGCCTAAATTATAAGAGAATGTTATTTATCGTATAGTTTAATGGGAAAGGAAGTTAAATAATTTTCTTTGCAAAATTCACCTGTGGGTTTATCACGAATAATGGAAGTGTGAGGTGTCCTTGATAAATTTATAAAAACAATAGTTTATATTTTTGACAATGCAATTAAACTAATACATTTGTTAGATAGGTGCCCACGCTTTTATTAGTATTAAAAAATTATAAATGAATTATGCCAATAGAATTATTTAATTTCTTGTTCTCATTACTCATTATCTGATAAATTATTTTTTTCCTGAAGTTCATTCATTATGTTATCAGTTTTAGAGAAAACATTTAATTTTTTTTCTTTTTTGTTCTTAATGATAGGATATTAATCAAATTATTCAACTCAAAAGATTTTCTTTAACAATGACTAATACTCTTTACTTTCAGCAAATCTTTTATGTCAAATGGTGAAAAAAAAAAAAAAAAAAAATCTGAAATGTTTCAGATTTTAAATTACGTCCAAAGGGGCGTTTTTTAACATTTTGTTGTGTTTACCTTTCTTTATTAAATATCATGTTCCTCGCACTTAAACCATAAGATCCAGTGCAACAGCAATATCGCAAAATAGTTTTAAAACGAGTATATCTTTAGAATTTCCGATACAGAGACTCACGCGCTGGAGATAAAAATGTTTTTTCTGCACAACGTTGCCATTGCTCGCTTTGAAATCCTTGAGTTTGTTAATCAAAAATTCGTCAAAGTTTTAAAAAATAGGAAATCGATCATAAAACAAATTTCAAATTTCAAATTTGGTCTTCCACATGCTCATATTCGTTGGAGGATTACGTTATTCAAATTTCGATGACTCTATGTACCGTTATTTTATGACAATGTGAGAAATATACATACATTTACGCAGATTTTCATTATTTAATTTCTTCAAATATAATGCAGGACTCTAACATTTTATGGCAACAGTTTGAAAAGTGAACCGACATTTATCCGTCCGACGCAAAATGCCAAAACGAAACTAATAGTCCTTCGGGATTCAAATCCCTTTGGACTAAAAAAAAAAAAAAAAAAAAAAAAAAGAAATCTGAAATTTTTCAGATTTTAAATTACGTCCAAAGGGGCGTTTTTTTAACGTTTTGAGTGTTACCTTTATTTATTAAATATCATGTTCTTTGCACTTAAACCATAAAATTCAGTTCAAGAGCAATATCGCAAAATAATGTTAAATTAAGCATATCTTTAGAATTTCCGATATACTGACAGTCTCGCGAGCTGGAGATAAAAGTATTTTTTTTTTCTATATAACGTTGCCATTTCTCGCTTTTAAAGCATTGAGTTTGTAAATCAAAAATTCGTTAAAGTTTTACAAAATATAAAATCTATAATAAAACAAATTCCAAATTTGGGATTTCAGATGCCCATATTCGCAGTAGGATTTCGTCATTCAAAATTCGATGGCTCTATGTACCATTGTTTTATCACAATGCGAGAAATAGACAATCATTTATGCAGATTTTTCATTATTTAATTTCTTCAAATATAATGCAGGACTCTAACATTTTGTGGCAACAGTTTGAAAAGTGAACCGACGTTTATGAGTCCGACGCAAAATGCCAAAACGAAAGCAATAGTTCTTCGGGACTGAAATCCCTTTGGACTAAAAAGGAACAGTTTGATCAAAATATCAGAAAGTACATTAAGAATCTCATATAAATTTTACTTAATGTATTTCTTACCGCTGTATCCGATGGTAATAGAAAACGCTTGTCAGTTTTAGTTTTTTGATTAGATATGTGCGAAAAATCGCTTCAACATTAAATTTAAAAGCATTTAAATCGAATTTTGAAGAAAAATTGTATTCAGCACATTGTGTTCTCATCCACACAATGAGTGTACAAAATTTGAGATCGATAGTTTAGCAGGAAGTAGTTTCAAAATCCATGACAAAAAAATGACTATGGCGACAAGCATCATAACTAAGTTAAATAAAAGCTTATAAAAACAAGGAGGATCTTACGTTTTTGCATTACAGTTGAAAGCTCTCAGATGCATATGCAGATTTTATTTCTGAACATTCTTTCCAGCGCTCTGACGTCCAAAGTCTGAACTCCTCAGTTGGGGTCGCAAATTCATATAGTTTAGGAAAGTTACTTGAATACATAGCATTTTTCCCACATACACCTCACAAAAAAGAAATCGAGTGGATCTTGCTGGCAAATTTGACACACCGTTACTCTCGTCTCCAAAATAAAACACACAAAAAACGTACGTACAGTAAGACGCCGCTTAACGCTGTTTCGTTTAGCGCTGTTTCGGTTTAGCGCTCTTTTATTTCAACCCGGGGATTCTCCGAAATTGTGCGCAGCGCTAGGTTTCCAAATAACATATCCGAAACAGTGTAGTTGTGTTTCTTGCTTGGTGGACGCATTTTTATCATTTGAAACAACATTTGTTGACATTATTGTAAGTTTGTATAATACTATAACGATTAATACAGTGACAAATATTATGATCTTTATTTTTTATCATGGGTGATAATAAAAAACAAGAAAAGAAAGCAAACCAGAAAAAGCATTTCACTGGAAACTCAAATGCTAGTGATTAGAAGATTAATTTCTGGTGAACGTCAATCTCAAATTAGTGTGCTGCATTGAATTTGGCAACTTCAAATAATAAGGACAATTTTTAAGAATAAAGAAAAAATACTGTCATCTGGCAACTGCAACTACGTCAAGCTCTGCAACTAGAATTACCCGTTCTAGAAATAACATTATAGAGGAAGTGGAAAAACGACTCTCTATATGGATTGACTACGAAATTGAAAGCAATATGCCATTAAGCCAATCTATCATAATGCCTTCTTAAGAAAAAGGCAGAAAATTGGAAATACAGAATACACTGAATGATCTGACTGAGAATTTTATTTGTTTTTAAAAGTATATTCGTTTATATTTTTTTATTTTTGTAAGAAATAAATGTTTGATTTTATTTTTATTAAAAAAAATTATTCAATTTAATGCCTAACCATTTTTTATCCGTCTTCCCCTAACCCCGTTATTTACATGTTAAGATAGCCTCGCTTAGCGCTGTTTCGCATTACGCTCTACTTTGATGGAACCTATCCCCCGCGTTAAGCGGGGTCTTACTGTACGTATATATGCAGTATGATTCCTATTTTTTCTCTAATTTTAGGCATGGAAAATATAAAGCGTAACGTACGGAATCATTCTGAGATTATAGTTGCAGAATGCCGTATTTAATTTTAAACAAATTACATCAGGTGCAAAATGAACTTTTGACAATCATGTACTTGTCGATAGTCCTCATCATCAATGATTATCGTGTACATATTTGTCATCTTCATCCTCTTTGATCATCGTGTATTTGTCGATCGAATTAAAATTGTCATCACGCGACTTTATGAAAAAGGCAGGATGTTAAAAGAATTTAAGCAATTAAACTTAGAAATAAGTTATTAAGTCAATACCAGAAGTAACTGTAGATTCTTATGAACAAATGCAACGAATGGGCTTCATTTATTAGTCCAAAGGGATTTCAGTCCCGAAGGACTATTGCTTTCGTTTTGGCATTTTGCGTCGGACTCATAAACGTCGGTTCACTTTTCAAACTGTTGCCACAAAATGTTAGAGTCCTGCATTATATTTGAAGAAATTAAATAACGAAAAATCTGCATAAATGATTGTCTATTTCTCGCATTGTGATAAAACAATACATAGAGCCATCGAATTTTGAATGACGAAATCCTACTGCGAATATGGGCATCTGAACTCCCAAATTTGAAATTTGTTTTATTATAGATTTTCTATTTTGTAAAACTTTAACGAATTTTTGATTTACAAACTCAATGCTTTAAAAGCGAGAAATGGCAACGTTATATAGAAAAAAAAAATACTTTTATCTCCAGCTCGCGAGACTGTGTATATCGGAAATTCTAAAGGTATGCTTAATTTAACATTATTTTGCGATATTGCTCTTGAACTGAATTTTATGGTTTAAGTGCAAAGAACATGATATTTAATAAATAAAGGTAACACTCAAAACGTTAAAAAAAACGCCCCTTTAGACGTAATTTAAAATCTAAAAATTTCAGATTTTTTTTTATCAGATTTATTTTATTTATATTTTCGCTAGCAATCAAACATGAATCAGTAGAATTAAATATCACTTTTTATATCTTGGGTAGGTATATACTGTCCAAGCAAGCTAAAGGGGAAATGACGCCTCAGTCAAGTGTTGATCAATCAGACGAAGCTGTCAGCGAAGAGGATGGCAAAAAGACACCTGACAAAGGCGCTGCTGAAGAAGCGCCACAAGGCGGTCATGCAGAAGCAAAAGCTGAGGCAAGTCAAGTTGCACTACAATCCGAACAGTAAGTAAATTTTATCAACCTTCTAGAGACATTAGGTATTTTTTCGAAGCAGGAGAGATGAAAAATGAGCAACGCCTTCGCCAGGAATTGAACCACGGACCTCTGGAATACGCGCCCAGCGTGCTGACCACTACACTACGAAAGCCTGCTGAGAAGGTGGGAGAAATACCTTATTGTCTATGTGAATAACAATTGTAAGACTATTTATTGTTGTAAGGTATCGCTTAAAAATTAAGCTTTATTGTTCTTATAAGGACAGTTATTACACGAATCCCAACTAAATATTGCACAAGTGATCTTTAAAAAATGTAGAACTGGTTTCCATAGGCTGAAATTAGCTTTAAATGCCACTGTCAAGATAAATGTTGCACTGCTACTGACCCAAACTTGCAATAGGATGTGCAAATTTATATTGAAATATTGCAAACTAGGAACTCAAGTAAGGCATGCAATTTTGATATTATGATTTAATACATATTTAAGTAATGCAGCAGAAAAATTCAAGTTTTTCTGCTGCATTACTTAAGTATGTATTAGATCATAATATCAAAATTAATTAGGATTATACAAGATGCTGTTGAGTATTTAATATCATATTATAATTCTCTGAAACTTTAATCCAAAATTTAATGGAATCATTTACACCAATATAACTTCGGTCATAAAATTAAAACTTTAACTGTATTTGCATGCTATTTACACATTTCATATGGCGTCTACTCGTGCCAGTTTAATTATGTTTCAGTACAACAGCTGGCAGTTAATGTTTAACTTTTAATCCTAATTTTTTAACTTGTTTTTTAGCTTCTTTTTTAACTTGTTTTGCAATTGTTTTTTAGCATGTTATTACCATTAGAAAAGTTAAAGAGATAAATTCTCTAGGAATATCATTAATATTTAAAGTAATTATTAGCAATCGAAGCCCTATTACTTGCAAAATAAAAGTTAATTTCAATCTAAATATCCATGTTCCCTATTCTGTTTAAGAAAAATAATTATGTATAAACTCAGCCAGTATTTAAATACAATTTACTAAATGTACTTACTAAAAATTTAATAAATAACTGCATTGAAGAAGTGATTTATTTATGTAACTCTAACTAAATATGAATCCGCCAAACGTAAAGTTAAACGTCGCATACCAGAAAGATTGGAAAGCCTAAAAGTAAATTTTATTAATGCCTAAGTTTATTTCCACATAACCAAAAGATGGGCAGGACATTTAAAATAGCACACATTGCAATTAGCATTGTAAAACTACGTTATACAATATACCACACTTTTTATTGCTTTGCCTCTTTTATGTTTGCGACATCACATTTTGCATATTTCTGGAAGGAGTGATGTGATTAAGATAATGTAAATACAAGCGTACCTTTAACTGCTTCATTTAACTGAAAACGAATCCCTGTAAGTATAATAAGGTATATAAGAAGCAAAGTTTACAAGAATAATATATATAAAAAGAAATATAGGTATGTAAGAAGAAACCGTAAAGTTATATAAGAAGAACCTTATAGTATATAAAATGAACCTTATAGGTATATAAGAAGAAAAGTTTTAATTTTTAAGTTAAATATGAAAAAAAAAATGCAATTTAAATAAATGAATATAATGAAATAAATGCATGAAAACGGTCTCTCGAGCATTAGTGGCCCGAAGCTTTTTTTCCCCCAGGCCACTAATGCCCAAGAGGACACACGTGTTGAGATACAGGTTGAGGGCAGACATAATGAGGACCACATGTCTGCCCCTCAAACTTTAGTTTGCCTGGGCCACCAACAAGAGCAGCGGTGGGATCCCGGCCAATACGAGCAGCCATATTGCGGAAGGATAAACTGCAAGCCCGATATGGCTCTCTCACTACTGTCAAATTCTGACACGTGCTGGTTAAAGTTTCTCCTTATAGTGTCCTCCTCATAACACGAGACTTTATACAAACACGACCTTACTTTATAAAGCAGGGTTTCTTAAACTGTGGGTAGCGACCCCAATTGGGGACGCGGATTTTGCAGCAGGGGTCGTCAAATATTTTAGTAATTTTGATATTTCTTTAACTGATTATAATTTTACAATTACCAAATATTTTTACACGGTGCATCTGAAAATACTTCCTTAGAAGAGTTTTGTCTAGGAGTCACAAAAGAATTTTCAACGATTTCTGAAACTGCCATAAACTTTCTTTTACTTTTCTCTAAGGCATATTCGTGCGAGACAACATTTTCATCTTTAACCACCATAAAATCAAAGTATCGAACAAATGCAAAGAATATCGAAGAAGTGCGTCGTCCTGCGGTGTCGACTATTTTGCCAGGATTTGATAATATAATTAAGAATATACAAGCACATACTTCCCATTGTTACTTAATCCTCGCATACGCGCCGTTAGTAGTAAGTGGGATGTCTCAGTAGTGACTTTCCAAGTGGCTATGCTTAATGGACAGAGTATAGTTAATGTTTGAATTTACCCAAGTAATTAAAAATATTTTGATTTTTGTATTATATTTTTTAGTTAGTTATTTAAATTTTTCAGATATTTCTGTGTCTTAAAATGAAAAATTAAAGTTAATGACTTAAAGTTCAATAGTATATTTGAGTACATGAAGAAACTGACAGTTTTACTCACACGTGTGTCGGATTTCTGCAATGCTTATGGGGTCCCACAAAATTTTCGTCAATATTATGGGGTCCCCACACCAAAAAGTTTAAGAAACCCTGTTATAAATCTTGGCAGCAGTGTCAAGCAATTAGTTTAAATCTTAATTGTCAGTCTGTGCTTCAGCAAAAACTTCAAGCTCGAAAAAATAAAGGAAAATATGTTAAACTTTTAAAATATGTATGTTAAAAATAGACAGGCCATGTAAAATAAATATGATTACGATTACAATTATGATTACATCTTTACGATACAGTTTTCTCATCCTCAAAGTGCTTATTGTTTTCCAAGAAATGATTTCTTTTAAAGCGAATAAAATGTTTTGTTAAGTGAAATATAATAATTTTTTAAATTCAATTCCTTTTTTTTTTCCTTATAAATGTTTGCAAGAAATTAAAAAAAAATACGTAATATTTCGTAGGGCTCAGGCTGCTGTTATTGCTGCGATGGTGTCTCAGGAGCCTATAAAACCCACTGAAACTCCAGCTGTGGCAGCGATAAACTTCAGAGAATACGGAAGAAAACTCGTGGTAAGTTGGTATATCTATGTAGGTTTAATAAAGGAAATGCAAACATCATTTGAACAAGCGATAGCAAATATTGAAGATCTCGAAAGGAAAACTTGATAATTGTGTCCTACGTGAGAAAAATGTATGATGATTATCAAAAGCAGAAGGAACAGCACGCTTTTTTAAAAGTACACCGCGCAAGAAAAAGGGGGGAGGGACAGTTTTATATCTTGCGTTCTACTGGGCCGATTAACGAAATTGAACTTGCATTTTTCATGTCTTGAGACCGCGACTTAGGATATGAATTACATTTATACATAGTATTGTTCTAATATAGATATTTTGACACAAAATGACTTTTTCTGAAATGGCATGCCACTTTTTTTTTCCATATTTCGATTTTACCACTCAAATTACGCCAAACTGCCAAATTTTGTAAAAATCGAACGAATAATTTTTAAAAAATTAACTCTCAGAATTTGAGCTCCTCAATGTTAATATGGAAAAAAATTTGGTATGTTATTTCTGAAAAAGTCCGATTTTGTGTTAAATACGTATATTAGATCTATGCTATATATAAATCTAATGTTAATTGAGTTTGGTATATATTTATTAATATCTCATTTTTTATTAAACTTATTTGATTCTTCCTTTAACATTTCGAAATTTAGGTTCATTCCAAATAAAATGCGCCTATTTTTAATGATTTATTTTTAAAAATTTGTATTTTAAAATAATTTTTATAAATGTTTATAAACAAATTTTGTATTGTAACTTGTAAATTTTTACCGTCATCTTAGTAGATGTATTTCTAAGCACACCTGCAAAAAATTACGATTTTTTATTTAAATTTTCCGAAGATAAACGTGAATTTATCAGGTTCAGTGTTCCTCCTTACTTGCTTGGGGAACATTCAATGACCTTACTTGGAACAGGGAGCTTACTAAAGCTATGTTCAATAAATGTGGGAAGTAGACAAGATGCACAGGAAGGGTATACGAAACCCTTTATTTTTCTCTCTTTACAAAGATTTCCGGACTTCGGAATACAGAGACCAACCACTTGTGGTCTGAACGTAAGAATATAAAAAATATTAACTAAATTATAACTAAACTAACTTTGGATTAAAAAACAAGTGGCTACTTGAAGATTGGCCGTATATTAACAGAAAGGCCGTATGTAGTACAGAGAACTGTGAACACTACAATACGTTTAAAAATTATCAAGAGGATTAAAACCTCTGGCCTTGAAGGCAACCAGCAACCGAGTAAAACTGCTAAGGCAAGCGGCCTGCTTCTACTAACTCCTTCTTCTCTCTTGCTTGGCAAAAAGCCACAACTTAAGTACTTGGCGTTCGCAAGACAAATTTGCATAAAATAAGTTAAAGCTTTTAATTCTGGCCGGAAGTAGAAAATAAGAAGTGATAGTAAAGATTTAAAATAAAATAAACGTTAGTAAAACTTAATATCCTTACAAATTTATATATTGGCGTATTTTGAAATTTGACATATTTGTTGAAAGCGATAATAACATCAAATGTGGTTTAGACACTTTGTTAAAATTATTTGAAAGGAGGAACGATTTGGCCTTTTTTTCTGCTCATGCACAATATAAAAACCTAGAAAACTAAAAAAACTAGAAATGTAAAATCCTAGAAAACTAAAAGTAACTTTTTTTCCCGTCCTGCACAATGGAAGTGAAAGGAAAACGGCATGCCATATATTAAGAAGTTCGGAAAGTGAATTATTCTTGGCGCAAACTGAAAAAAATATGCCAAGATAAATTGTATATTTCTCTGTAAATTTCGCGCTAAAGTTTACAAAATTTAAGATTTAGGCATAATTTGGATCGTAGAATCTAAATATGGAAAAAAATTGGTATGTTATTTCTGAAAAAGTCCGATTTTGTGTTAAATACGTATATTAGATCTATGCTATATATAAATCTAATATATATCCTGAGTTGCGCATTCGAGACATGAAAAATGCAATTTGAATTTCTTCAATCGGCTAAATAGACCGGGAGATATAGAACTATCCCATTTTTTTTTCGCAGAGTACATGATATTTGTCATTTGGACTTTGCATAATTATAAAATACTTTTAGATCAATGGTCTTGGTTTCGCACGCTTTTTTAAAAGTAAATTAGATTTCTCTTTTGGACATCCCATAACTGTAAAATACTCTCAGATCAATAAAAGTTTGGGTTTCAAATTGATGTAACAGTATATTTAAATGTTTAAAACTGGGCAAAGTTTCAGTCATTTTGTCCTCAAACGGGCTTGTTAGCAAATATCTATCACAGTTTATTTTTTTACCGTGCTTCAATGACGTTTAGGAAGTTTCAAGATTTGGCAAGGATGTTAAATATGTTATTTGAGAATGATGACTCTTAAAATGTCTCTTTAACGTTTAGTTATGGATATATCTTCGCAATTTTTGAAAAGAATACATTGGTAAAAGTTCGGACTGATATTTTTCACCTCGTAATACCTATTAGTAAAAACTTATGAAACATAAATTGTTTTTATAAGGAGCCAGCAAGGAAAAATATAAATGAGAAAAATATTTTTCAAGTCGTGTTAGTACAGGTGACAGAGGACGGGGACACCTTGTGTTTAACAGAGGTAAACATGCATATGTCCCGCGCCCTCCCCTATTTAGTGGCAGCAACTCCCTGGAGCCTCATGAGGCCACCTCGGGAGTTTATTGAAGAATTTAACGTAATTGCATGGCCATACCGGAGTGTCTTAAAAATACATTAGTTATGATCTTGTTAGTACAGCAAAAAAGGGGTGAATATAAAACACTCACATTCATACAATCCGAAACACCCGATATATCACACTAATAAAAAGTATAAGGGAGTTGTATACCTATTGTTAATGACAGCTTCTTTTGATAATTTTTTCATTTAGAAGTATTGGTACCAAAATCAGAATTTGCAGAAATTCTGAAATTCGAAGTTCTTTAAGTAATAAAGATAAAATTTATACGACTCCTACGTCAAACTGTCTTAGATAATATATATGTATATATAGGTACCATTTAAGCTATATAATAATATAAATATGTAAGAAAAATAAAGAATATGTAAAAGATTAAATAAGCAGCATAAATTAATTTCCCTTCTCTATTCTAAAAATAGTCACCCCTCTCTGCACTGCGTCATTTCGAGACTATTCTAGGTCATATCATTCTTACGTAATTATGATGATGTAAATGGAACTAAAACTCAACCAGCCAATAATAATTTTAGAGCAATATTAACTGTCCAATTAGAATGCTTTGAGCACCAAAATTAACTCATTTTGACTTGAGATTTCATCCTGAACATTACGCACTTGCTTTCCACGCTTTGGCCTTAGCTGGACTGCAGTCTGTCTGCTGCTTCTTTCTTGCTACAAAATTATCAAAAATGTAAGCCCTTTGGAATAGGCACATTTAATGTGCCGACTTGTATGTAACCGCTACATTTTGCTGAAAATAAAATTGATGATTTAATCTGAATTCGCCTCCAAATTCTGCTCGTCATTACTTCTAAATTTGTTTTTGCCCCTGGTCATTGATTCTGAGTTTAAATATATTACATATATATATATTTAAACAAATTTAAATTTAAATTTTAACATACACGTATAAAAGTAAAAAAGCAGATTTAAAGCCAAAATTCAAAAAAAAAAAAAAAAAAAAAAGCAAATTTAAAGCCAAAATAATTTTTAAAAAAAGTGCAAACATATAAAAGATTTAATTCTCGAACTAATCTACAATATCATATAAATTCAGAAGCATAAGCAAATCAAGTGCAAAACCAATCCATGAAAATAAATTCACTAATTTAGCAAATTAAAATTAATCCAAACAATTTTTTAAAAAATGCATAAGTGAATGACTGTTGAGTAGGCAGGAGACAGACTTATCAAGCGGAAGTTGCCTCCAAACCTAACTCTCCAATCATTCAATTCGTGTTTTGTCATTCATGCAGGCAAGGGTAAAAGTCAAAACCAAAAGTAAAAAGAAATACCAATAAAAGTGGCACCCTTAGAAATTAGCATTTAATTAGACAAGGGTTTCTAAAATACATTGGTTTCTAGATTATTTTTTATAAAAAATTTTTTAAAAAATTTAATTTAAAAAAAAGTTTAATTTAGTACTTGACTTTACTTACTTGTTTCTCAAAAGACTTCATTAGTTTTTTTTTCCTTTTACAACTTTAATTCTTAAATGTTAATTTCTAAGGGTGCCACTTTATTGGTATTTCTTTTTACTTTTGGTTTTTACTTTTGCCCTTGCCTGCATGAATGACGAAACACGAATTGAATGATTGGAGAGTTAGGTTTGGAGGCAAATTCCCCTTGATAAGTCTGTCTCCTGCCTACTCAACAGTCATTCACTTATGCATTTTAAAAAATTGTTTGGTTTAATTTTAATTTTAATTTGCTAAATTAGTGAATTTGTTTTCATGGATCGGTTTTGCACTTGATTTGCTTATGCTTCTGAATTTAAATGATATTATAGATTAGTTCGGGAATTAAATCTTTTATATGTTTACACATTTTTAAAAAAATTTTTAAAAATTATTTTGGCTTTTTTTTTATTTTTTTTTTTATTTTGGCTTTTAATTTGCTTTTTTACTTTTATACGTGTTTGTTAAAATTCAAAAATTAAAATTTGTTTAAATTTAAATTTCATTCCTTGCAGCAATGGCGCAAAGAATATTTAACTAAATTTGTATTTATTAATTAAATTTATTTAATTAAATTCAATTTATTCTTATGAAACATTTATATATATATATATATATATAATGAACATTAATCAATTTGTGAGTTATTATGTATGCTGTTTCGCTTTCAAGTTGTTGAGTGCAAGTCTATGTAAAATAAAATAATTGTTAATTTAAGATAATCATGAAGAGTAATAGGAAATAGCTTTGTAAGACTAGTTTTGATTTGAATTTATTATTTTATACTATTAAAAAATAATGTGATCTTGCATTTTGAAAACGATAGTAATGCAAAAATTCATATTAAAAGGCAAAAAGAATTATCACCTATCACATCTGATAAATTTAGGAAGATCATTATATCATAATAATGCTCTGCGATAGTTTTCTGAATTCAGAAATTTGATGTAATGATATACTGGATTGCTAAACTCGATGAATTAAAAAAAAAAAAAAAACTTACTTCTGTAGAAATAGAATATCCAAACTACACTAGGGTTGAACACTTTTAATCTTCAAACAAGTTCTGCTGCATCTGGCATTCTCATTTCAGATAATTAATTTTATGAGTACTTTTCAAATATATGCCAAGTATATAAATTTTATTCTTACCTTCCCTTATTGAGACTCAGATAAATAACAAAGAGATGATTTGAAGTAATAATATATGCAAAATGCTTGTAACAATAGTCGTAAATTGTGACAATTTCTGTGCCCGTATTAGTATTATCAATGTAGATAATATTAAAATAATCAATCATTTCGCAGTAGAACCGTTTTCACTAGCAATATCACATGCTATAAAATAGACATCTGTTATTAAACCTCATTTTATATTTGTACTTTTTATTCTCATCAATGTTACTTAAATGTTGGTTCATGCATGGAATTTATGCTTTTATTTTTATCCTTTTAGAGCTTCTTGGCCAGAAACTTCTACACCATGAAATACCTTGCCCTTGTTATGGCATTTGCGATCAATTTCATCTTACTGTTTTACAAAGTAAGCCATTATATAATACTTTTCCAAAGTTTAACACATGGTATAATATGCACCAAAAACCTAATGAATTAGCTAGTGAACTAACTAATTGTATTTAATTCAAGCACCGTATGTGTATTATATATTAAGCAAGCAAGAACTGTGTATTCAATTTAAATATCACGTATAAACTCAATGGATATTTTATATATTTTTATAAGAAATATTAAATTAATTTTTATTGTTTTATACTTCTGGATTATTATTTCATATTTATAGTACACTGCGGGGGGAGGGTAAAAAAAGGAAGGAGACAGTTCTATATCTCCCGTTCCCTACTGGGACGATTGAGGAAATTCAACTTACGTTTTTCATGTCTCGAAAGTGCGACTTAAGATATGTATTAGATTTATATATAGCATTGTTCTAATTTAGGCATTTTGACACAAAATCGGACTTTTTCTGAAATAACACCATTTTTTTTTTCAATATTTCGATTCTACGACTCAAATTATACCAGACTGCCAGGTTTTGTAAAAATCGCACAAGTAGTATTTAAAAAATTAGCTCTCAGAATTTTAACTCCTCACTGTTGATATTTATTAATATCTCTTTTTTATTAAACTTACTTGATTCTTTCTTCTAGAATTCGAAATTTAGGCGTAATCCAAATATAATTTCCACATTTTTTATTATTTATTTAAAAAAATTGCATTTTAAAATATTTCTTACGAATTTTTCCAAAAAAAATTTTTTTGTATTATAACTTATCAAATTTTTAACGCCATCTTAAAGTAGATGTATATTTATGCACACCTGCAAAAAATTAGAGTTTTTTATTCAAAATTTCCTAAGATATACGTGAATTGACGTGGTAATAACGCCCAATGTAGTTTACGCACTTTGTTAAAATTATTTGGAAGTAATGGAACGTGATCTTTTTTCCGCTCGTGTACAATAAAATAAAATGAACGGAAAGTAAGTTGCTGTAAATTAAGAAGTTCGCCAAGTTAAATGTTTTTCGTGCATGAAAACAATACGCCGAGATAAATTTTTAGATTTCTCCGTAAATTTCGCACCAAATTTTACAAAATTTAATATTTAAGCATAATTTGAGTCGTAGAATCGAAATACGGGAAAACAAATGGCATGCCCTTTCAAAAAAAAGTCAGATTTTGTGCCAAAATGCCTATATTAGAACAATGCAATATATAAATCTAATACATATCCTAACTCGCCCTTTCGAGACATGAAAAACGCACTTTGAATTTAGTCAATCGGCCCAGTAGAACGGGAGATATAGAACTGTCCCGTTCCCCGTTTTTCCCAGTGTACATGCGCACCAATACATTATGTAAACTCAATATGTATTTTACAAATTTTTGTAAGAAGTATTAAATTAATTATTAATGCTTTATATTTGTCGATTGTTACTTATGGTCGATTTACGGCATATTGCGCATCAATATATTGCAATGTCGGCCATACGAAAAGTTGCTTAGGTGTACACATACATCCTTGTTCTGAAGCATTGCATTTTTGCAAGGAAATTGTAGGACTTTTGTTTCCCCAATTTCGGCTAAATTCTGTGTAATTACAGAGAATTTAAAATTAATATATGTGTGAAGAGAAATACAGAGAATACAACTTTCGAAACAAAACGTCTGCCAAAAAGCTTTTAACTGAAACTCCTCAAATCGAATCCTGCCATCGCCAGCTTCATTTTTGCATGTCTTTAAAATAATTTTAGCATTATTTGGATAATAAAATTTAATACTATTACTTTGTTTTAAAAGGAAACTTACGAAGTGGTTATTTACTAGGCAGAGTGAATTTACGTAAATATCATGAATGCTGCTTAGAATTTTCTCCATGATTTTTCTCGTTTATATTTTCGAGGGGCGTGCTTTGTATTCTCATATCCTTTTTCTTTAAGACTCTTTATAATTAGGTATAATTTTGACGAAATCGATGAAAAAAGATCGTTCTCTTTGTTGGATTGTTTTGAATCATCATGTACGCTAATTACAATATCATGATTAGGTTAATCTTCGGATTATGGTAACTTGGCGATTTTTTGGCGAAAATTTGGCGACCAACTCTGCTACAACAACCTGCCAGTTTTGTTTTGGACGCCATTTTGTTTCCACGAAGTAAAGGCATGTTTTTTTTTTTTTTTTTTTTTTTTTTTTTTTTTTTAACTCAACATTTTTTCCAACAATCTGCTAGCCGAATTACGCTTATACTAGAACTTTTATGGAACAAAAATGCTTAATCATAACGAAGATTAGGTGCGGAATTGGGAGAAAGTGCAGAATCGCAAACTGCTTGCCGCGTTTTTAAGAATTGCACATACACGGTATCCATGTAGACGTCGACCTATTTTGACTTAAAAAAACATCCCAGAATTGCACAAAAATTGCATTGCGCACACTCTTGACTTTATCCATGTACACTGCTAAAGTCCTAGCTAGTAACCTTTATCGCCTTACCAGAATGTCGCCAAACTACCTGTTACCATATTCCAAAGATTAGCCCATGATTATATTTGTGTTTTATTTACAATGATATATATTATTAAATAACATTGAGCGATGCGACCTCTCATGAAATTTACACACCAGAAAAAAAAAAAAAAAAGTAGGCGAGTAACTAACGGGTTATTATTTAGTAATAAACATAAAGATGATTTTCCCTCAAAATTATGTCGAAAATTACTTTAATACCCAAGCTTTTTTCTAACTGGAATATGGGTATAACTGACATATTCACGTATATGATTTGACTTGATGAAATGAAACATTTATATCTTTTCCTTAATAGTTTTATTTCCCAATAGCTTGGAAACAGATGATCGACAAACAGGTAAAATGAAGCTAAGTTAAAATCTGAAAGTTGAATGTGCATACGTTGGTTGTGTTAATTAAAAGAAGTTGTGTTAATTAAAGAGAATTACGAATTAATTTGGATTTAGCGAAATAAACTTTCTCAAATAATTCATATTTTGAAACAGTAAGGTAAAATATGTACACGCTTTAGTTAATGGATTAGTTTATTGCATACTAGCAGCTTCGCTGCCAGGCTTCGTCTGGCTTTTAAATGTACCGGAAAAATGGCTGAAGGGAACACTGAATGTTAAATTTAAAAACTGCGTAGAATTTTACTCTGCAGAACAACTTCATAAAAAAAGTTATTACGTATAACAAAATTACAATGAAATAAGCAATATCCCGTAATACAAATATTAATTATCCTAATAAATAAATTAACCAACTTCCCTTTGCGAACTCGTAAGAACTCAAATGTATAAAGGAGGTTAAGAACTTTGTTTCCTAAAAAAAATCACTCAAAACTTTTCAATATCTAAAAAACAGTGAAATGAGCAATAAATAACATAAAAGAATGCAGAAAACAAAAAATTCTGAAAAGCAAAGTATAATTAATGATATTTTATCTTATATTTTCAAGAGAAAAAAATTACTATGAAATAAGCTATATCCCTTAATACAAATATTAATTATCCTAATAAAAAATTAACCAACTTTCCGTTGAAGAAAAAAATCATGCAAAACTTTTCAATATCTTACAAACAGTGAAATAAGCAAAAAGTAACATGAAAGCAACTCGAAAAACATAAAATTCCGCCCAGAATTTTACTCTGCAGAACAACTTTAACAACAACAACAAAATAAATAAATAAATAAATAAAATAAAAATAAATAAAATAAAAAATAAAATAAAATAAAATCAATAAAAATGTATTATATATAAATGAGAATGAAATATGCCAATCTCTTAAAAACAGTTACATAAGAAATACGATGAAAAATTGTTGCCAAACCCATATTTCTAAAAGAATTAAACTATTCAAAATGATGCGATTTCATCAAAAATCTATCAACAACAATAAGACGGGAAAATTGTTGCCAAAATCACATTTTTAAAGATGTGAGACGTGAGAAGTGTACTCGGAAGCTTCATTTAAAAAATTCTTTAAAAATACAAAATATTATCATTTTTCCAAAATTCTTTTTGTAAAAGCAGTCGCAAGGATAAAAGTTTAACGTGTCCAAAATCAAAGAAAAATAAACTGTACATTTTTAAAAATAAACTATTTTAGAAAAAAATCCCGTTGAAAAGGTGTTAAGCTCCCTTTGTTAAATAAATTCGTATTGAATCGATTTATTGAAACATAAAATTTATTTTAAGTTCGTAAAATAGCTAAGTGCCTACGTTTCATGACGATGTGAAAATGGAGTGTGTAGAGTAAAATCTCGCTTTCTTATAGCTCATTTTGTCTCAAAATGACGCGATTTCGTCACAAAACATAAAATAAAAAAATTCGAATTCGAATTTCGAAAAAATCGCTTCGAGGTGCACTTTCTCTTGTCTAGATGCACCTATGTACCAAATTTCGTTGCCGTGGGTCTATTAGCTTTCGCGCAGCGCGAACGAAAGACACACACACACAGACAGACTCTTTATTTTATGATATGTAGAGAAGAATATTGTTGTATATATATTTATTTTCAGTTAGGTTTATATAAGCCTTTTATAGTTGAACAACAATCAGTATGAAACACTTACCGGTCATGGGAATTTTGGAACTTACTTACATCGTTTCCACATTATTATTAATGGACTCTCTGCTAGCGGCGATACTATGGAGGATGTGGAACATATTTTATTACATTGTAGGTCTCATGCGACCACCAGAAGTGCATTTATAGTGAGTTTATGGCAACTCTCTATTTGCTGGCCTCCTGTTTTCTATGGTATTTGCGGTTTTGCACCTGAGGATGGTAGTTCGGTGAAACCATCGAAACTAGTCCTGTGAAAATTTTGAAAATATAACGCTGATTTTTGTTGTTTGACTTCTGAATTAGTTCTGTGATCTTGTTAGGAGTTCCGAGGCCTTTGCAGTCTTACTCGACTTTATTTGTTCTTTGAACTTTTAGTATTATTATTTATATGAATGGGTTTTTATTTTTTATGTGTCACTGTATTATTCTGCGTAGTGGCTACGTTATGTACTGATGTTTCGTACAGTTGATGTATTATTTTTCTTTGTATCGGTATTACTTTTAAGTATTACTTGATTTTTATTATTGTTGTATTATTTTAAGTTAATTTATTCTTTTTTATAGGAGTATTAACATAGTTTAATTATTCATGGTACATTTTAGTACTTTTATTATAATAGTATTTGTACTTTATATCTATATATATATATTAAAAAGTAAATTCTTCAAGCTATTGCCTATGAGCTGTGATTCTTTTGCTGTGATTATACTGTGGTTCCTTTGCAAAGTATTTTAAACACAAAGAAACGATCCAATTGTTATTTATAATGTAAAAACACAATATGTGTGAAATACTAATAAAAAAAGAAAAAGGTGAAAGCCTAACTTGATTCAAACTTAAAAGTTAATATGCTTGTAGAATAAAGTTTAAACTATCACAAAACATAATAGAAAAAATACTACAAAAACATCAAGTTAAAAAACAGCAAAACAGCGGTAAACGGAAAATTAGCCCAATTCGAAGATCACCATGGACTTTTCAAGGGAAATGCATGGCGAGCTTCGAACTCTGCTAATTCCAGAACGCGTTTCGTCAAACACGAAGCAAATTGAGATTGATTGCTTAAAATATTTTTTTATATATTGAAAAGATCCAAATATTAATTCAGACCAAGTCTCAATTTCTCTGTTTCATTTCCCGACGCGTCCGCTGTTAACAAGTAAATGAGAAATACTAAACTTGTGCAAGTTTGCCTTTCTTCCATTATATATATATATATATATATATACGTAATAGCTTTTGTCCAATAAATAGATTGTGAAGATTGGTTAACAAGTAATAAGAAGTACTAAGCTTGCGCAAGTTTGCCTTTCTCCATATATATATATATATACTGGTATATCACACACACACCCACATATATGGTGTGTGTGTGTGTGTGTGATATACCAGCTTTTTTCCGGAATAAATAGATTGGTGAAAAATCATAGATGTAGTCGTAGCTTAAATTATCAGACGATAAGTTTTAAAAAGCATGATCCATTTATTATTATTCAGGAGAAATAGCAATTACAAAAATCTGATCTCCGGAGTAAATAAAAAAGAATTACTAATAACTTTTTGTATGAAGTTTACTGCATTGTTACATTAAAGAAAAAGACCCCGATATTCCTTTGCGAGTCCTATTATAGCCTCTGGAAAGGCGGAGCTTCCAAGAAATGACGTCAGCCATTCCACTTCGCTTTAAATATTTCCAGAACATTCTATAACTGTACGTGTAGAAAAGGCGGGAAAAACAACTTGACTACGGGGCTGTGGATTTAATTCCACGTACTTTCAAATAGGAGACTGCCGCCATTAAAAAATGAAAAGAACATACAGTTAGAATTTTAAGTGTATTCTTGACTATGGAATTTTATTATTACATATATATATATAATTTTATTAGATTTTTATGTTTTTATTGTTGAATTCCTTTTTACTATGAGTTATTTACTTACGGCTGTAAGCCTCGTGGAATACATCGTGGAACACGAGGAGTTTTGTATCTGTTTTCTTAATTTAAAAAAATTGCATGCGGCATACTTGAATTTAAAAGATGGGAAATGAACTGTTTTCGAAATAGAGTTATAACGCATTCTTAGACAGTATTTTTCAAAACTGGATGTCAGTAATTATGTAAATTTATAACATTTTTACTGTAATGCTTATAAAATGTTCAATTTATAGTATTGTCTGTGATGTAACAACTCACCGTTTTCTAGGTAACTACACCAGGAGCTGAAGAAGAGGAAGGTGAAGAAGATGACAATGATGATTCAGACGAAAGCGGCATTTTAGGCAATTTTACTAATATGGATGACGATGCAATTCTTGGAGGTGACGAAGAACTGGATGAATGGGTGGTTATTGAAGAAAAAGTTTTCTACTTGGAACCTGTCATTCGCTTACTTGCCCTGACTCATTCGATTATTTCTTTTTGCATGTTGATCGCCTATTATAATTTGAAGGTAAATATTCCTTATTAATGCACTTTTTAATTCGGTACTTTAAACTGTGAGCTTCCTACAAAAATTTATGAAAGCTGCCAAATATTATCTTCCTTTCAAGACATATTTGATGTTCAAATTTCATTTGAAAAATTGTAATTCGGATCAATCATATTACACTGCGGAAAAAAACGGGGGGGAGGCAGTTCTACATCTCCCGTTTTACTGGGCCGATTGACGAAATTTAAATTGCTTTTTTCATGTCTCGAAAGCACCACTTAGGGTATGTATTAGATTTATATATAGCTTTATTCTAATATAGGTATTTTGAAACAAAGGCGGACTTTTTCTGTAATGACATGTCAATTTTTTTCCATATTTCGATTCTAGGACTCAAATTATGTCAAATGGCCAATTTTTGTAAAAATCGCACAAGTATTTTTTTTAAAAAGTGAGCTCTCAAATTATGTCCTTAGTGTTAATTGAATTTAATATATATTTGTTAATATCTTTGTTTTCTTAATCTTACTTGATTCTTCCTTTGATATTTCTAAATTTAGGTTCATTCTAAAAAATCGCCTATTTTTTAATGCTTTATTTTAAATTTGATTTTTTAAATATATTTTAATAAATGTTTCGAAAGACATTTTGAATTATTAATCTATAAAATTTTTTACCATCATCTTAAAGTAATTATTTCTAAGCATACCTGTAAAAAATTACAGTTTTTTATTCAAAATTTCCGAAGATATACGTGAATATGTATATTGGCGCGTTTTGAAATTTGGAATATTTGTTAACAGCGATAATAACATCAAATGTGGTTTTAAAATTATTTAAAAGTAGGAACTTTGTGAATTTTTTTTCGCACCTGCACAGTGGACGGAAAAGGAAAATAGGTTGCCATATATTAAGAAGTTCGTCAAGTGAATTATTCTTGGCGCAAACTGAAAAAATGCGCCAAGTTAAATTTTTATATTTTGCACAAATTTTACAAAATTTAATATTTAGGCATAATTTGAGTCGTAGAATCGAAATATGGAAAAAAATTGGTATGTTATTTCAGAAAAAGGTCCGATTTTGTGTTAAAATACCTATGTTAGAACAGTGCTATATATAAATCTAATACATGTCCTAAGTCGCGCTTTCGAGACATGAAAAACGCAATTTGAATTTCGTCAATCAGCCCAGTAGAACGAGAGATATAGAACTGTCTCTCCCCTCTTATTATATTTATTTATTTATTTATTTATTTTTTTATTTTTTTTTTTATTTTATTTATTTATTTTTGTTTTGTTGTTGTTGTTTCGTATGCATGCAAAACTCTTAGTAAATTGAAACTACACTGGTGTGCAAAAATTAAGGACGAAGTCGAAAAATTAGCATATAAGCTGAACGAAGAGGCAGAGCGGACAGAAAGACCAATCAGGAGATTAAGTAAGGTGATGTACGGTAGCACATGCGCAGATATGCTGGTAGACGTAATGGGGGAACGTCTGAGTAGTATAAAGCAAGTTGTCGGTGTAAGATCAGTATTTCTGGCAGAGATTGCATGCCGTATAGCAGTCAAAATCACACCGAGTTGCTGCTTCAGCGAGAAATGGCGAATAATCAATCTGTTAGACGACATCTGGATGCTTTTACCCGAGGTCGAATCATTGGGAAGTTGGAGGAAGGCCGCAGTGTGACAAGTGTGGCTGCAGAGTTCGGAATTGCTCACAGCATCGTTTCACGACTTTGGAGACAATTTCAAACTACAGGAACAGCTATCCGGGGGTTTGGTAGTGGTCGTCCACGAGTAACCACACCCGCAGATGACCGGTATATTGCCTTACAGGCCAAAAGAAACAGGCGGCAGACAGCGGGAGAAATCGTTAGACACACGACACAGGCGACTGGACGACCGATATCGCGTTTTACCGTGGCCAAAAGACTGCACGGTGGTGGTCTGTTTGCACGACGCCCTGTACGGTGTGTACCTCTAACGCCTGCCCATCGGAGAAGGCGTTCTCTGTGGTGTCGGGAACACCGGAATTGGAGAGACAATGAATGGGGACGAGTACTCTTTACAGATGAGAGCAGATTCAGTCTAAGTAGCGATTCTCATCGCATACTCATCTGGAGAGAGCGGGGAAGCCGCAGTCATCCCTCGAACATCATTGAAAGGGACAGGTATGGAGGTGGCGGTGTTCTCGTTTGGGAAGGCATCATGCATGGTAGTCGTACAGACCTTCACATCTTCGAAGCAGGTTCTGTCAACGGGACCCGTTATTGTAACGAGATTCTTCTTCCATATGTGCGTCTTTTTAGAGGCGCTATGGGTCCGCAGTTCCTTTTCATGGACGACAATGCACCATGTCATCGCACAGTAGCTGCCGAACAGCTCTTAGAGAGTGAGGATATTGAACGTATGGATTTGGCCGGCACGATCTCCGGATCTCAATCCCATCGAGCATGTATGGGATTTTCTAGGCAGATGCTTGGCAGCTCGTACCTTACCACCAGTAACGATTCCGGAGCTTCGATTGGCGCTGCAAGACGAATGAGCAGCAATGCCTCAACAACTCATTGACACCCTCATTCTCAGCATGGGCAGACGCTGTGAAACTGCCTAGCAGTCAGGGGAGATCATATGCCGTATTAAAGACCGGATGTTCTTGCTGGACACCCATCACAGGGATGTTTCGGCCTTCAGTCGCATTGCGCTCATGCTACTTTTTCAATAAAGCTTCTTTTATCCCTCTGATTCTTTTAGTAAGTGTTGCTTCATTACTCATGTCCTTACGTATTGGGGGATCTTACGGTATTAAATGTGTTGATTTGGAAAGCTTTTGTACAAAGTTATATTGAAAAAAAACCGTCTCGTCCTTAAATTTTGCACACCAGTGTATATGGCTGCATTAAACTGATTATCACTGCCAAGGTAATTTCTGTAAAATTTTCTGGTAGACCATATACTAAAAATTACTAAAAGCATTTATTGAGGTATTTCGAAATTATGATAGTGCCATATACAATGGAGAAAAAAAGACTTGACAGATTTTTCATGCTTCCAGATATTGTATAAAATTTCTTTGCAGCTTACCTTTCTCTAGAAAAGAAATGTTAATATGATTTTCTCGAGATTTATATTATTATATTATACGTAGCGAAATTCTCCGTCAGTTCCTTTCTAGTGGTTTTTAAAATGGTCAGATTTCTATTGCTTATTGTTTATTGCACTGCAAAGTCCTTTTGTTCCTACATTAATAATACGTTATTGCAATCTACTCTGTGTTTTTAAAATAAAGAAACAATAACAATTCAAGTAGTAGAAACTGACATTTGATTAGTTTAATATTATCTATGTATGTAATAAACCTTTTTATGTTGTGGTGTAGAATATGATGCATGGAGATATAATTGAAATGGTAGCAGTTCGGTTCTTTTTTTTAACATTCTTTAATACAAAGTATGCATCCCAGATGGCACAAAATAAGCATCCATTTTCTCATAATTATATGTGTACATTTCGCATTTTTTACTATATCTGAAATAAGGAAGAGAAGCGGTAAAAATTATGAAAGGACAGATAAGCTAAGAAAACATACACAGACTTCAGTGTGGATAATAATGTAGTTAGTTATGGCTCTACTTTATTGGTTAATTAAGGTTTGGGTTTAGAAAATTTAGGGCTGTTATTAGACAAAAGACATTTGCATTATATAAGTGTTACGTGCATGATGAGAATCACATAATAAAAATTAATTCCGAAATGACATGCTAGAGAGATATTTATTATAAGCATGTTAATCCTTTTAGAATAGAAAAGGGAAACAATTAACTTTAGGTGGAGATTTAAGTGACTATTTCGAGTTAAAATTATAATTTTATCCCACATGTATATATCAAATAAATAAAAAGAGATAATTTTAAAAGATTAAGTTACCTATTTTATTTATTTCGTTTTATATTTTGGATAATACATAAAAACTCAAGTTTTTGTATAGTTAGTTTAATTTTAAAAAACTTAAATATATAATGTTCATTTATTTACTTTAAAATCATTTCAAAAAGACAAAGTAACTAGAATAGAAGAGAGAGGCATAACTAGAATAGAGAGAGATAGAGAGATAAAATAAAACTCTTCTTTTTTCTATCTTTTTTACATATTTTCGTAATCGCTGATTAACCGTTTAAAATCGTTTGAATACTTTTTTGGTTTGGTTTGGCTTAGTTGGTTATGGCAAAGCATACTAGGGCTGTCTGCCTAAGGTGAGGGATGCCTTCATAGAGGATTTTCTAAGGGAAACTGTCCGGTATACACGTTACACATTGGGAAAACCACAAAAGCGCTCATGCAGCCAGTTCGTTTGCGTGGAATCGAGCTCAAGGTTGGAATTAACAGTGTTCAGCGATTTTACTGCTCAGCGGCTGGTGGGCTTATTATCTTTTTCTGGGGGTGGAGGCAGAAAAGTATGCAATATTTTTCAACAAAAAGTGCCCAGTGTTTAGATTTGTGATTTGGATGATGTATTGATTTTTCGTAACCTTTATACTCCAAAGATGTTGGTGTATTTAATTATGGCAAAGCACACGAGGGCTATCTGCCTAAGGGGAGGGATGCCTTTCGTGGAGGACTTTCTAAGGGAAACCTGGCTCGTATACACGTTACACATGGGGAAAACCATTATACTCCAAAGAATCCTGACTATTAAAACGTTTCTAAGCTTTTTGTTGCATCGTCTTGATTTTTGGTCTGCTGATTTTGGGATTTTAATAAAATTCGAGGCTACTGCATATGAGAAAAGTAATAAGACCAAGATAGAGTTTTTAGGATGGAGCAGGAAGAGACGAATAACCTAATGAAGTTGAGTTTCACGAGTGTTACGAATAAAATGGATAATTAATCCATTGTTCTTTAGAATTGTATTATCATGTGCCCCAGTTATGTTGAAAACAGTTTGAAAAGCTGAGCTGCTTTGAAGCAATTATTTACATTATTTTTCTGAAATAAACGAACTTATTATAGATAACCAGATAGAGAACCTGGTTATAGAGAACCAGATATTTTATGCTCTTTCTTAAGCAGTTCTGTTTCTGATTCATTGGATTCTCGAATGACTGTTATGTTTAAAAGGAATATTTGCTAATGCATGAAGTCTTTCATTAAATGGATTATTTTAATATTATGTGTTTTAAATTGATTTGTTTTCTCATTACTTAAAAGGAATATTGATATTGTTTTAGGTGCCTTTAGCTATTTTCAAACGTGAGAAAGAAATCGCCCGATCTGTAGAATTCGATGGACTGTATATATCAGAACAACCAGCTGAAGACGATATCAAAGGACATTGGGATAAATTAGTCATCAGTACAAAGTAAAGTTTTCTCAAGTTACATTTAAAGAGTTTTTCTCATGTTATTTTACTTATATTTAGCTGCAATATATTTTTTCCCTTTCCTTTCAGATCATTTCCAGTAAACTATTGGGACAAATTTGTCAAGAAAAGGGTAATTAGTTTTCTTCCCTAGATGTTAATTTTGTTTTTTATACTTTAAAATTAAAAAAGGATGCATATATATATATATATATATATAATAATAATCAAGGTTTTAATTGAATTGTTTTCTGTTTCTTGGAGATGATATAAAAGTTTTTAATTTAAATTATTTGTTATTTATATATAGAGAGAGTGAAATAGACAGATAGATAGGTGTAGATAGCTAGGTACAGATATATAAAGAAATGAATAGCATAACTCAATAATTTATTACAAGTCATTATTATTATTTTACTGTCATTTTCCTTCAGCAAAACTATCACAGGCTTATTGCACTGGAGTATATGATGCATATGGGGCAAATAAAAAGCGTAGAAGAATAATAATTACTTTCTGTTGCATTATTATAGTAAAATCTTAATTATATTTCATATGAATATTGTACTTTGACGGGCGGACGTCCCACCTTTTTTATCAGAATTATCTCCGAAATGAAAGCTGCAAAATTCCATTTAAAATACATAGAATTACGTCTTTTACTTCTCTAAATGTATAACAGATGGCAGCACTAGTATTCATTCATGGAAATAATGTAAAAAATTTTCTTTGCAGGTCTAATTTTTAAGCACTTCCCCCCCCCTTAATTTCTAACGCAATTTAAAGCACCTGAATAACAACTTTGGGTGTTAGAATGAATATTTTTATGTAAAAGTTTCCTTTTCAAATAAAAATTGTTATTTGAGTTGATATACTAATTAAGCATAGTTGAAATTAAAAGGTGGGACAAATACGTCCCACCGCGCATGTAGAAATTGCTGCTACTAGATGGCAAATATTTTTAAATTCAAGTATCATGTTCATTTTATATGTTGAAAATGCAAATTTATAATTTTTAATAAATTACAATAATGTTAAAACTTAAAAAATATTTAGTATTTTTCCGAAAGAAATAAAAATATAACTCTGTAACAGGAAATGTCATTGGATACTGAATGGATATGTGAATGTGATTCATCATAGAAAAATATCCTAAGCAGAGGAAAGAGAAGTTTTCCTTTTCAAACCTGTAGCAAATAAAGTACTGGAACGAAAATCTTCAAATATATTATGAAATCACTAAAAAATATCTAAGAACTCGTACAGAGAGCGATTATTTTAAAATTATGTACATTTTTTTGAAAAAAATAATTTTTATTTTGCAAATATTTTCTAGATAATTATTCAAAAACGTTTTTTATACTTTGCATTTTCATTGTTGTTAGTTGCTAAAACTAGCACTTTATATAAGCATATTAGGAGAATTTACGCCTAGGCAAAGATGCCATTTTACATCTCTAGAGGAGCGGTAGGACAAGCGGTATCTCACCACGTCATAAATTACCTTAAGGGTTTACCTTTTTTTTTTTTTTAATTTTTTAATTTTTTTTAAATTTATTGATTTATTTTTCATAAAATAACATTGTATTAGGGGCTAGTTATCTATGTGTAAAGTTATTTTTTCTAAAAAAAAAAAAAAAAAATTATGCACCGAACCTCAAAGGATTAAAAAATATAGTATTTAATTTTGACTTTTTTCTTAATTTCTAAATGCATTAACTAACTTTCACAAATTAAAGTTTATACTTTAATTTACACTTATTAAATTTACACTTATTATACACTTTATTAAAGTAAAGTGTATACTTATACTTTAAGGTTTTCTATAATTGTATGAAGTTACATAAAAATTAGTAAAGCCAAAAAATGCATTCCTCTTGTAAACAGGCAATTATTTGTAAGCTAAGAAAGTTAAAAAAATTCATGGAAATCAACATTGCTTTTGTCTTTCCATCAGAATAACAAATGCTAAAAGAGTTGATTCCCTATTTCATTGTGTGAAGGAATAAATATTAAAAAATAAGATTGATAATAAAGATTGCTAGAACATTACGCAGCAGAATAAAGTTAAAAAAATGTAATAATGATTACTATCATTAAGATGCACAGAAGTATCGTAACTGTACTTTTACAGTAGAGAAACTTAAACATATTTCACTTACGGTAGAATATCTTATACCTATTCTTAAGAACCTTGCATTAATATGCTTCACAATTTCCTCCGTGAAAGTTTGCCACACAAGAAGCAGGAGACATACGTTGGCCCCAAGACATACGTTGAGGAATTTCGGAAAAATTTTTACTTCCATTTCCAACATCATATTAAGAGTCAGCATTTCCTAATACAGTCAAAAAGTCTTTAATCCGGACTCGTCGGGACTTCGGCGATTCCGGATTATCGGTTTTTCCGGATTATAGATCATCAGTTTAAACTTGGTAAGATGGCATGCAAAAATTATAAAATTAAAAATATGAAACCATAATTTATGAAAAAAGCAATTGTGATCTAAAGGGTACAAAATTTACAAAAAAAGCTTAATATTTATTGTTTACTTTATTAAACATTCTTTCAACGCGCGCATGCGTAAAGCATACATTACGCATAGTCAAAATTAGAAATTGCAACCAGAAAACTATTGATGGTATTCGTGAAATTTATAATGACGGCGAATTTGATTTAAATCATATCAAAGACGGAGTACATCGAGATGAAATACTACATTTAGTAAGGAATTGTAAGCCGAATAAAAAACGTCTGCTCTGAAGATAAGGATAGTGCTGACAGATCAACTTCCAGTTCATTGCGCGCCGCGAAGTCCCCCGCCCCGCAGAGCAGCGTGAAATTGATAAACAGATTTCGGAATGGTTAGAGAAACAAAGCATATGCCTTTATCCATTTTTTGCAGCAATTCCACTTTTTGTTTAATGGACTTCGAAATACTTTCGCTTCGAGATCCTTTACATTTTAGTAAATATATCGGAAATTCTATTTGACATAATCGAAAGTTCAAGCTTACTTTTATAAAATGCTCTAACAGTCTGCAAAAAATAATAAGCCGGATCCAATTAGAAGATTAAGGAACAACGCAATCTGCAACAGTAACTGAAATAGATAATTAGATAATTTTAGCTTAGCTTATACCATCCGTTATACATTAAACGCGCTTGCGTAAAGGTATTATGCGCATGCGTAAACGGTACGCATGCGCAGAAAGTTTGTAGCTTTGAGGTCCGGATTATAAATCATTCCGGATTATGGACGTTTGACTGTATAAAAATAATAACAGTTTAGCAATGAAATATTTTTTTTTTTTTAATTCCTATGTTCTTCCAACTGAAAGATCTCATCTTGACGAATTCTGTAGAAACACCAAGCAGATTCCGAATTTATTGGTGAACTGGTTCAGTTGAGTAAAGCAAAGTATGCAAGGATGATATTTTCAAGCTCCATCCTAATTTTTACAATGAACACGAGGTTTTTAATATTCCTTCCTTTATACTATCATATGCTTGAGAGGGTTTTTTGGATCTATAGATTCTGAGAACGTTCATTCCAGTCTATTTCTACTTTCATTATATAGCTCTTTCTTAAGATTTATAGTGTTTGCACTGCAGTATTTGTGAATGTGCACGGCTGAATCAGCTATGTTGATTATTAAGCTTTGGGGCTGCAGTATTTTTAGTGAAAGTAGAGCTGGTGAATAAAAGATGAGTGATTTATTTAAATCACGTAAAGAAAATAATATGAATGTACAATTAAGAAAAAATGAACAGTAAGACACAGATAAACGGCACTTTCTTCCGCCATTTTGAACAACAGAAAAGTTCCATTTTTAACAAAAGGGCAAACGCTTCCTTGGAATATAAATGGAAATGTTAATATAATAGAATAGATGTTTTTCTATATTTTATAGAAATCTCTGATGACTCCGTTTTGAATAATTTATTCACATTTAGGCAAACCTTTTAGTACAACTCATATTTTGATGTAATGTTTCAATCGACGTTCAATACTCACTTGATAGTCATTCCAGGTGCAAGATTTCGTAGTCAGGACTGCGATCACTTTTTCACGTTATAAAATAAATATTTATTTTTGTATAATAAGGAACTTTTGGAAAAATTTTAAGAAAACCTGGGAATAGCTGTTTTCGGAATCATTACTGCCTTAGTTTACTTCAGCTTTTCAATTAAACATCTGTTACTGCAGCTATGAACAAGGAGTAAATTTCTTTTACATTTGGTTATTTTTTCTATATTTTATATCTTTTCTGATTAAACCAACTTTCTATTATTATTTATTAGGTGCGAGAAAAGTATAGTGAAACTTACGATTATGATGCAATAAGTAATTTACTGGGAATGGACAAAGGAAGCGCCTTCTCTCAAGAGGAGGAAACGTCTGGTATTTTGGGATTGTAAGTATCCTTTGGGATTGTAAGTATCCTAAATATTTCTGTTTCGGTGCAATTTATTTATCAACGGATGTTTAAATTTTTGTTTTGTTTTTGTTTAGGATAACAAGTATGGATTGGAAATACCAGATATGGAAAGCAGGCGTCACTATTACAGATAACGTAAGTTTGCTTCGTTAACATATTTAACGTATCAACTGCTGAAATTCTCCGAGCCAAGCCTTGTACTGAATGTTGCACTTTTTGGTATTTCTCTCTTGAAACTGGTCCATAAAATTTTTTTTTTCAAGCGATTTTAAAGAAGTTTATTCGTGTGGTGATTGGACAAATAATATTTGGCTTAACAGTTAAAAAAATTCATTTAAATATTATTATTCTTTACTACATTTTCTTACTTATTTCTTATGATAACTAATTATTTTCCACGACTCCTGTAATGCAGCTTAAAAATACGAAGTCTTTAAGGTACTTTCTAACAGAAGTTTTCATACATTTTCGCATTCGTTGATGTTAAAATTTTCACTCAATTGTCAGAACAAAAGATTTAATCCTGCACGGGGTTATGAACGTAAAATTCCGTATAAAAGGATAGTTTTCCAGGTCCTTACACATGAAAATTTTTGACAGCTGTTGATATATCCAATTTCAGGGTGGACGTATATCGGAAGAAGGAGTTAAGGTATAAAATTAGAAGATCGTTTTGGAATTATAATCAAGAGAATACAATTTGCGCCTAACGTTTTGGGGGAACTTTTGAAATTTTAGGCACAAACCAACTTTCGGAGGGTACCCATTTTCTTTCAGAATTTCGAACAGTTCTTTAAGAGCTGCTTTTCCTATGTGAAAAAGAAAGATGTTTGTAATAAATCCCGCTGCAAGATGGCTCAAAAATAATTCCTAAATTTGATGTAGAATATTGATACTATGATTACAAATTAGTTTCGTCTTTGAAACTTGCGAATGTATTCTGTAATTCTTAAACTTTCGAACAGAAATTTTTGCATCCAACATTAGGAGTGGAACAATATCTACAAATATAAATATACACACACATATATATATATAATAAATGTATAATATAAAATTCCAATACATTTTTCAATCTTAAAAATTTATAAAAGTGCATAAGTAAATAATTGCTGAGCAGGCAGGAGACAGACTTATCAAGGGAAAGTTGCCTCCAACCTAACTCTTCAATTATTCAATTCGTGTTTCGTCATCCATGTAGGCAAGGGTAAAAGGAAAATTCAAAACCAAAAGTAAAACCAATTGTTGTGAATTACTAAAACGAAATTTAAACAAGTGGAATTTAGAGAAATTAGCAAGTAAAGACTAGAATAATTAAAGTCAATTAAGAGTAGAAAACGAAGTTTTTTAGAAAACCAAAATTATTTAGAAACTCTTGCCTACAAAAAAATTCCCCGACAAGATATGCAAAAAATTAATAATAAAATAATAATTTATTAAAGTACAACATACTAAAAAAATACTAAAAAGGCATGTAAAAGTAAGTTTTAATTTAACTTACCAACTATACTCGTAATTGGAGAGTGGAGCAGCATGCCAAACTAAGTGATGTTAAGTAGTGTGTTTCTTCTAACTTTATAAATAGAGGGCGCTGATATAAGAGCGCTTATAGAGTTAAGCTGCTATCTGTTAGATCTATTTAAAAAAAACCTATTCTGTAAACTTTAGTAATGTAAAATGTGTGAACTGTTGCAAATATATATCTCTACATATAATAAAAGAGTTTGTCTGTGTGTGTGTCTTTCGTTCGTGCTGCGCGTAAGCTAATAGACCCACAACTACGAAATTTGGTACATAGGTGCATCTAGACAAGAGAAAGTGCACCTCGAAGCGATTTTTTCGAAATTCGAATTCGAATTTTTTTAATTTATGTTTTGTGACGAAATCGCGTCATTTTGAGACAAAAGAGCTATAGAAAGCGAGATTTACTCTACACACTCCATTTCACATCGTCATGAAACGTAGGCACTTAGCTATTTTACGAACTTAAATAATTTTATGTTTCAATAAATCGATTCAATACGAATTTATTTAAAGGGAGCTTAACACCTTTTCCAACGATTTTTTCTAAAATAGTTTATTTTAAAATGTACAGTTTATTTTCTTGATTTGACACGTTAAACTTTATCCTTGCGACTGCTTATACAAAAAGAATTTTGAAAAAATGATAATATTTTGCATTTTTAAAAAAAAAAATTTAATGAAGCTTCCAAGTACACTTCTCACATCTCATATCTTTACAAATGTGATTTTGGCAACAATTTTCCTGTCTTATTGTTGTGATAGAGTTTTGATGAAATCCCATCATTTTGAATAGTGTAATTCTTTCGAAAATATGGGTTTGGCAACCAATTTTCACGTATTCTTATGTAACTGTTTTTAAGAGATTGGCTATTTCATTCTTTTATATATAACATTTTAATTATTTATTTTATTTTATTTTTTTTATTTTTTATTTTTTTTTTTTTATTTTATTTTATTTTTTTATGATTATTTTTTTTTTTTTTTTTTTTTTGTTGTTTTAAAGTTGTTCTGCAGAGTAAAATTCTGCCCAGATTTTAGTTTTCGAGTTGCTTTCATGTTACTTTTTGCCTTTTTCACTGTAGATATTGAAAAGTTTGCATGATTTTTTTTTCTTCAACGAAGTTGGTTAATTTTTATATTAGGATAATAATTTGTATTAAGGGATTAGTTCCTTTCATTGTTTTTTTCTCTTCAAAAATATACCATTAATTATACTTTGCTTTTCAGAATTTTTGTTTTTTGTATTCTTGATGTTATTATTGCTCATTTCACTGTTTTTAGATATTGAAAGTTTTGAGCGATTTTTTTAGGAAACAAGTTCTTACCTCCTTTATCCATTTGAGTTCTTAAGATTTTGGAAAGAAAGTTGGTTAATTTATTTTAGGATAATTAATATTTGTATTAAGGGATATTGCTTATTTCATTGTAATTTTGTTATACGGAATAACTTTTTTTATGAAGTTGTTCTGCAGAGTAAAATTCTACGCAGGTTTTAAATTTAACGTCCCTTCAGCCATTTTCCCGGTACATTTAAAAGTCAGACGAAGGCTGGCAGCGGAGCTGCTAGTATTATATATACGAAAGAAAGTTATAGCATTGCAATCACATGTAAAACAAATAAGTGTGGTTTTAAGAATGCCTTGAAATGTCCTCCTGGCTAGTTTAAATTATATGGCAATTGTGTTTTAAAATTATATCATTTATTTCATAAGTATCCGTTTCGTTTTTAGGCATTTTTATACAACACATGGTATTTTACTTTCTCCGTCATGGGAAATTTCAATTTCTTCTTTTTTGCTGCTCATTTACTTGACATTGCTGTCGGTTTTAAAACTCTTCGGACGATCTTGCAGTCTGTAACTCATAATGGGAAGCAGGTATGTTTTTCTTACACATCTATAATTTTACGATGTTATAACGATTGAGTATTATATATACGATTGAGTTATAACGATTGAGTATTATACAGTAATTAGAATTTCGAAGGAGCTGGTTATTTTAATAGCTGAAATTTCCTTTACAGCTGGTGCTGACTGTTATGCTGCTGACCATAATTGTGTATATATATACTGTGATTGCCTTTAATTTCTTCCGAAAATTCTATGTCCAAGAGGAGGATGACGAAGTGGATCAGAAGTGCCACAGTATGCTGACTGTAAGTAAATGTTCTATAATTGTTCCACGGTTTTCCATATTTATAAATGAAATATATGATTAGAATTATCATCAAATGCAATATTAAGTTGCAGAATTTCTACAAGTTAAACCGATTTTCACTTTTTGGTTACTGGCATAAATGCTTAGCAACATTCGTTTTTCATCAAAAATCCTCCTTAGCAAGTCTACTCTTAATTACTTAAATATTGCGTGAACTTGTTCTTTTTACAAGTAATTTTTATTTAATTAAATGAACGTGTGATATTTTTCTTTTCAGTGCTTTGTTTTCCATTTGTACAAAGGTGTCAGAGCTGGTGGTGGTATCGGTAAGTGTATTTATGGATGCATTTATATATATATATATATATTATTTTTAGTGAAATTTGGTAGTTATGGAAGCAGCGTTGATTAAAGTTCCACATATTTTTATATTCTCATCGGTTGAATAAAGTTCTTCTTTAGAGAACAAAAGACGTTAACATCATAAAGAACAAATTACCAATAACTGCATAATTTTTAACTAATTATTATTGCTTGTTTTCGTTAAAGTAATTAGATTACATGCTGATCAAGTAGCATTGTCCAAACAAAACGACAGTTAATTTTAGAATGTACTTCTGTAAATGCATTTCAGGATATAGGCAAGTGCTTCCATCTAGCGGGGATAAAAGAAATGATTACTACAGGATGATAATATTTTTATCTAAATCAAGATATTTTCATTATATAGCTTGATAATTCGCCTAATATTTACCAAGCGTTAAAAGGATTGCTAAAAATGTATTGTTTTGGTAATCTAATTTATGGTATAAAAATTACTGAATAAAGTGGAAAATACACTCATTTTTCACAGTATTCGGTTACCGTGGTATTAATAGAAAACATTTTTATTATGTTAAATCTTGTAAGGCAAACTTCAGTAAAAGGAAAACATTTTCATGCTATATCAAAAAAACAAAAATATTTTTGATACATGATCAAAATGAGTAGGGGAGACTATTATATTTGGGATAATTTTATTTGATAAAAGAATAAACTGCTTTATATATTACTGAGTGAGCTGTTTATTAATGTCTGCATTTTCAGAAACACAGCCGTGAAAAATGGTGTTGAAGCAAACGAGTTTAAATTATAAACAATTTTGGGAAGAGAATGATAAGAAATAATTAAACAATAAATGATACTTACGTATTTACGCCACCACCTTAGTAGAAGTCGCCAAATTTTCATAATATGCCTAACTCAGGCAACCATATTAAATATAGTGCATAGTTAAAACTCTTGAATCTTGAGATTTTTAGCTCCAAAAGGGGCTAAGTCTCTAAATGGGATTTTGCCTCCGCCAACAAATATTATCGCCCTGTATTATTTTTAAAGAAATTAAATAATGAACTATCGGCATGTATGTATGTATGTATGTATGTTTCTCACACTATGGAAAAACGATGGTTACTAGTGCCATCAAATTTTGAATAATGTGAATAAACAAAAATGTGCTCCTGGAAGCCCGAATTTTGAATTTCGAATTTGTTTTATTATCTATTTCATTTTTACTTCCTTGTACGAAGTAAAAAGGAAGTATTGTAATCGCGAAAAGTTCAGGCATCATATTTCAACGAAAATATCCATCTTGACCGCTATCGAATGCAATTTAACGATGTTGTTGCGCGACATCTGAACGTAACGACAGAATAAAAGACTCGTTTTCCCAAAAAAATTATAAAACTAATTTTAAATGAATTCTGAAGAGAATTTTTCGTGGTGTCTGTACGTACATATGTACGTATGTATCTCGCATAACTCAAAAAGGAGTAGCCTCAGGACGTTGAAATTTTGCATATAGGACTGCTATAACATTTAGATGTGCACCTCGTATTTTGGTTGCAATCGGCCTCACCAAACGTAAATAAATATATATATATCCACTCTGTTAACCGGCTCAGTGATCTCAGTTTCTTTACTCTTATATGTTTGTAAGTTGTCCATTTTTGCTTTAAAAATGATTGAATTATGTTTCTCTTATCTTCCGGTTAAGTTTTTTATGAATTTAGTAAATCTGCATTAAGTGCAGCTAAGCCTAAAATTTTTGCGATGGCGGACATCTTTGTTTACATTTTAAACTTGGCAGAATAGCGGATTTGTTGCCAATCCAGTGAAACTAAGTTTTGCAACAACAAAGATAACGCCTTCTTCTATTATTTCGAATTGAATCATGTTTAACCCATCCTGGAATTTATTCGAGGAAATAAGTGTTTAAGATTTACTTCGTAATTTTTTAATATACATTATATAATGTATATTAAATAATGTATTTATTATACATTATTTTAATATACATTCGTTTTTTGTGTTAAATGCGCATGCGTAAACGTATTACATGCATGTGTAAAGCATACAAAAAAGTTTGTGGCTTTGAGGTCCGGATTATAGATCATTCCGGATAATGGACGTCCGAATTGCGGTCTTTGTACTGTATTAAGTAGTTGCAAAATATCTATGTATAAACAAGAAAATGACATATAAAACTTGTAGATGCGAGAACAAAAATAATGAAAAATAGACAGCATTTTAGCTGCCTTGCGAATGTAATCGTCTGTCCAACAGTTCAACTGAATTAATGTTCTTTGGCATAGTGCCAAAGCGAATCTTTCAAATGATATAAATTTATATGCATTCTGAGTTATAATATGAACGAAATGTAACGCTGTTAGTTAAAACTAGCGCCATAGTATTGCTATGGTAAACAAATATAGTGAATTTTAAAAAGTGCGTTTGTTCTATTGTGGTTTATGCTCTATCGACGAAGTAGATTTAATTCAATCCAATAATGTTTAAATGAAATGCAAGAAACAATGCATATAATTTAATATTTCGTACAAAGAAGTCATATAAAGTCATGTGGTGCGCACATCAGATTTTTTGTTTAAAACTTTAATGAAGTTTTGATTAACAAACTCAACAGTTTGAAAACGAACAGCAGCAACACTGTAATACTTTAGAGGTACACTCAGACCCTCTTGGCTACAGAGTGGCCTCATGGTAAAAAAAATACAGTTACCCCAAAAGGACGTCAAATACAAAATACAAACATACAATGGCAACACTGTACGGAGTATAACATTCGTAAGTGCGAAGAACGTGGTATTTAATAAAGAAAGTTAATAATAAAAAGACTAAAAAGTTTTTGTTAGCCAGCTTATCAAGAAAACTGAACATTGGCGTGATGAACCAAGAAACACTCAAAAACTGTAAAAAGAATGCCAACACTGCAGCGGAAATTTTAAATATATTTAAAAATTTCGTTGTTGAACTAACTATATATGACGTATATGCAAAGAAAATTATGCTTAGTAATAAAGCTTAAAAAAAAAAAAAAAAAAAAAAAAAGATAAAGTAGGAGTGAGTGTAAGAGGGCAGTGGTATCACGTTGGTTCAGCGAGAGCGTAAAAAACTTAACAAACCCTTTTGGCGATTGTTAAAATCTGAAACCTTTCAGATTATTTTTTAATGTAATTTGAATGAACACGCAAGCACCCTGCATGAAGGATTGGAAATAAGAACTTATCCCCTAGTCCACACTACAGCAAAAGCCCAAGACCATTTGTGTTGCGATGCAATGTGAATGAAATGGATACACATCCTCTTTTTAAAACATAAAACTTATACAGTACAAAGTCCGTAATCCGGACTCGTTGGGACTTCGGCGATTCCGGATTAGGAGTTTTTCCGGATTATAGATCATCAGTTTAAATCTGGTAAAATTGCATGCAGAAATTATACAATAACAAATATTAAACCGTAATTTATGAAATAAGAGCAATTATGATCTAAAGGGTATCAAAATTTACAAAAGAAAAAGCTTAATATATCTTTGTTTATTTTATTAAACATTTCTTTCGGTGCAAGTTGTTTGTTTCGTTTTTTTGTGCTAAACGCGCATGCGTAAACGTATTACGTGCATGTGTAAAGCATACAAAAAAAGGTTGTGGCTTTGAGGTCCGGATTATAGATCATTCCGGATAATGGACGTCCGAATTGCGGTCTTTGTACTGTATTAAGTAGTTGCAAAATATCTATGTATAAACAAGAAAATGACATATAAATCTTGTAGATGCGAGAACAAAAATAATGAAAAATAGACAGCATTTTAGCTGCCTTGCGAATGTAACCGTCTGTCCAACAGTTCAACTGAATTAATGTTCTTTGGCATAGTGCCAAAAACGAAACAGAGTTATGTTGAGTTCTTCTATTCCGGTGTACTGGAACAATTTACTTTAAATGACATGTTAGACTGGCTTGCAGGGTTTTGTCATTTCTTGCAGCATGCCTAAAACATTTTCTCATAATTTCTCTTTTCTTCGATATTTCTCAAATAACATAGTATAAACATGTAATTCAAGTGATCTTCCGCCCTTCCAGGAAAGAATATTTTTATTTTGAATAAAGCTGAAATGACTAAATTCCTTTGGTGCTCCTTCTTCATTTAAAGCACTTAGAGAAAAAGTTTTGTTTTCCACAAATTCATTTTCAAAATTAATACTCGTTCCAGAAAGTAATGTTGATTCAGTTCTGCATTCGTAAGCATGCTATTCTAACCAATTATTGTAAATATTCAGAAAAACATCAATTTAAAAGATGTTAGTTTCATTTCTTCTTTGTCTTTGTTCTCAAGTTAAATAAAAGCATTCAATCAACATTTATTTACAGGTGATGAAATTGATCCCCCTGATGGAGACGAATATGAAGCATACAGAATCCTTTTCGACATCACATTTTTCTTCTTTGTCATCGTCATTTTGCTAGCTATCATTCAAGGTTTGTTTTACCTTTGTCTTATCTATTTTCATTATGTTTCTTCTTGTTTTTTTATCCAATATGCAGAATTTTAAATTAAAGTAACTGAACATTTATTCAAAATCAATAGTACTTCACATTACCAGCGCAAATGGAATTGTTAATATGTTGAGAGATTTTAAGGAAAGTTAGTTTATTTATAAAATATGGGTAGTGTAATATGTTTAGGAGAACCAATAAAAACTTATTATGTGTATAAATAAATATTTCTGAGATTCCGTGCATAATAAATTATCCTTATTCTTAATTAGGTTTAATCATTGATGCATTCGGTGAATTAAGAGACCAACTTCAAAGTGTTGTAGACGACATGGAGGTAAATAATCAACCATTTTCTATTAATTTCATTTTTATAAATAGTATAAAGTGATTTTTTTCCAGTTTTGTAAGCGTGACTTAGAATATACAGGGGTTGGACAAAAATATGGTAAACCCTTAAAAACATGTTTTTTGCTTAATATGGTGTAGGAACCGCTGGCATCCAAAAACGCTTGCAGTCTTTCGATGATAATACATTCCTTATTTTGCCAAGGGAATATTCTCTCATCTTCCGCAAGACGGGGCAGTTCAATACGATGTTGGCGGGGATAACGAGAACGCACTTTCGTTCCAATGTGACCACAAGGTTCGAAATATTCGTCTGGTACTGGCCAGGAGAGATGGGACACTCATCCTCGTGCTCAGAAAACCATCCTGGACAATGTGAGCTGTGTGAACAGGGGCTTTGTCGTTTGGAAGACCATCACTCGGGGAACAAAGTTTGTACCATGGGATGACTGATCGGCCAAAGTTCACATAGTTTGGCATCATTGCCCTGCACAGTATCATGGGCTAGCAGAGAACCACCGATAGGCTCCAAACCATAACATAACCCCCGCCATTTCACTCTGGCAACAGCATCGTATATAGGCTTTAGAGGGCGTTTCTCCAGACGTAAACTCGCCAGAAGTGGAAACAAGTGAAAGAAACTCGTCAGACCTATTCTCGCTTCCACTGCTCTATGTCCATCTTTGTCTTAACACCCTTTTCCTGTTAGGGGCATTAGCATCACTGATGAGTGGCTCTCAATTGCAACGGCACGCCACAATTCCCTTTATGAATCTCCCTTCTTTTGTTTTGGTACTCACAGGTTCGGTAACAAAACCATTCATTTCACAGTAACTTTGCAGCTGGGTTTTCTTATTTTTTCGTCACAATTGCCCTTATGATCGTCGTCACGTTACTCCGGACCACTTCGCCGCGCTGTGATTTAGCAATGATGTTTTTTTCCGCTTTTCAATATGCGGCAAAAATCTTCGATAAGTACATCTTGAACACAAAACCCTCTTCTACCTGGCTTACGGAAGCACCTACCATACGTGCGCCAACAATTTGCCCCGTTCGAAGTCTGTTTAAATGCAATGACACCTCACTCCGACAACAACTGAACTGTTTAGCACATTCGAATTGTATAGGTGGCGTCAGTAGTCAAAAACGCCAGCGCCACCTACATATTTCATTAAAATCAACCTTTCTTTTCAAACATGCATTTCACAAGGTGTTTATATATTTTTGTCTATCCACTGTATATTAGATAAATGTGTAGCATTGTTGTATGTTGAGATTGTTTAAAGTCGCACTTTTTCTGAAATGCCATCCAATTTTTTTTCCATATTTTGATTCTACGACACTGAAAATATGCCCAAAAGGCAAGTTTTGTAAAAATAGTATAGGAGTATTTTTTAAAAACCAACTAAACAAAATTTTTCTTTTCAGTGTTAACCGAATTTGGTATATATCTATTTTTTTAATTAAACTTATTTGATTCCTTCTTTCACAGTTTGAAATTTAGATTCAATCCAAATAAAATTCGCATATATTTCTGATTTATTTTTTAAATTTGTATTTTTTAGTAATTTTTATAAATTTGAAAAGAAAATTTTTATCTTCGTCTTAATGTAGATGTATTTCTAAGCATATCTACAAAAACGTTATAGAGTTTTTTAAAATTTCCTAAGATATAGGTGAATTTATATATTGGTATGTTTTGAAATTTGCCATCTTCGATTTAAGCAATAACAACGTTAAATGTAATTTACGGTTCTTTAAAATTACCAACTACGATTAAAAAATATAATATAAAGAAAATTCTTTGAAAGAATGAACGAGGTACCTTTTTTCTGCTCGTGCACAATGAAATGAAAAAAAAAAGTAGGCTACCATATACTAAGTGAATTACTCTTGAAACTGAAAACAATGTGCCAAGCTGATTTTTTAAGTTTGTCGTTAAGTTTCTCAGCAAATTTTTGCGAAATTTAATAATTAGGCATAAAGTGAAACATAGAATCGAGGTATGGGAAAAAATTGCTTTGTTATTTCAGAAAAAGTCCGATTTTGTGCCAAAATACTTATGTTAGAACAATGCTGTATATAAATCTCATATATATCGCTTCCGAGCCATGCAAAATGCAAGTTAAATTTTGTGAAGCGGCCTAGTTGACGGGAGATGTAGAACTGTCCCATACCTCCTTTTTTGTGCCCAGTGTACTTTAAAAAGCTAAATATTTTTACTTTTAAGGTAATTAACGTATTACTTAAGGATAAAGTGAATATAAGAAGGATGAATAGTAGCTTTCGTGCAAGAAATCGCTTTTCGTAATATGTGCGGTTGTAAAAAGCACATATTAGTAATGTTTTATATTACTGTCATTCTTTTTTACAATATTGTAGCATAAAATCTATTTGCACATTAAATTTCATTTGGTAATATGCAAGAAAATTTGTTTTCATTGCAATTTGTGGTGGAAAACTTCCAACTTCTTATCTTAAAAAAATTAGTTTTTAAACTTTATTTATTTCTGCACTTTATTTTATTATTACTTGTTTTTGTACATTATGAACATTATTTATTTCTTTGCTTATAATTGTTTATTTTTGTACTTTTTTCTTATGTATTTCTGTACAGATTTATTTCTTGTATCTTAGATTTCTAGTGCATTTACTGTTGAATTTTCTTTGACTTTTAAATGGCTAAATTAAATTAATGCTTGCCTTTATTTGATTAACTTTGTAATTTTATATAGTCTATAAAAGATCTCAGGAAATCTTAATTTGCATAATTATTTTTAGTTGATTAATTTCTTATTTTAGATCTAGATTTAGGTATATAATTTTGTATAAGGTTTACAAAGAAAACGTAGTTATAAACACACATATAAGTGCAAGTATTATGTCTCAGACTTTTAAAACTGCTGTTCTCTTTTCTTCTTTTTCAGTCTAATTGTTTCATTTGTGGTATTGGAAAAGATTATTTCGATAAAGTCCCACATGGTTTTGATACTCATGTTCAGAAAGAACATAATTTGGCAAATTACATGTAAGTTCATTGCATATTCTTTCAAAACTTTTTCTTATTTTATACCTCATTTCTCTTTTACTAGTTTTAAAAATCTATCGTCTGCTTGTTTTTGATATATTTTTGGCCTTGAATGTAAAATATCTCTAACTTATTAATGTGAATTTATTAGAACCGTGTGAAAAAGGTTTCATCACACATAACTGATTTCAAAATGTAAAAATTGCTGTAGAATTGTAACTCTAAATTTAAATTTCACTTAGCAACTTGACTTAAACCTATTGGCCTAGTTTAAGCTATGAAATCAACGAAAGTTATTGCCTACATAAGTATAAAGAGCTCAAATAAATGCACTTGTAACTCTGAATTTAAACTGAAGATTCGTTTTCAACTTTGTATAGCATATCCTCTCTAGAGAAACAAATACAGTTTTAATTCATTATTTTCTATCTTTTAGAATCAATATTCAGATAGCTTTAAAATTAACTTTTTTATAAGGTTCTAGTTTTTCCCATTGTTAATGAAATATTTTTAATCCTCAAAGCTTAATATAGTATTCTGTAAATGTTTAGTACAGCTGCTTATATTAGCTTTATGCATCATAAATAAAATTTTATTCAATTGATTGTCTTTTTATTGATGATTATCTGACATTTAATATTTACTTAGTTTTACAGTCTTATGAACATCGTCAAGAATAATTTCATGTTTTTCTTACAGGTTTTTCCTCATGCATCTTATTAATAAGCCAGATACTGAATATACAGGTCAAGTAAGTACATTATAGCAAATTAAACACTGGTAAATTATAGTACTTAGCAAAGTGATAGTACTTGATGACATAAAAAGTGAAATATTTTGTCATAACTAGAAAGAAAAGAATTTAATAAAAATTGGAGTACACAATATTTTTAAGCTTTCTTTTTCAGTAAATAAATTGCTTCTTACCCATAGTGAAATAAATCTATTTTGTTCAATTTTAGTTTAGAATCGTATCCTTTTCATCACATTTATTAACGAGGAATAAACATTTCTCAGTATTATATTCTAATCCAGAATTCTATTTTTTTGTTTTTCTTCTAAATAATGCCAAATCTCTGACTTAACAGATTTTTTCTGAATGTTCTATTTCAGGCTCAATAAATAAATCAATGAAAAATTATATTCTATTTTTTTCAGCTGTTATTTTATTTCAGACTTAGTAAATAAATAATGACTTTCTATTTTTTCCATGCGCTTATGCATACACATTATATTATACTTCGTGCTTCTTATTTTTTCATCTGTTTAGGCACAAGCATTTTATTTTATTTCAAGGCCAATAAATAAATAAATAAATAAATACTTCCTACTTTTTCCATCTGTTTACGCACACAAATTTTATTCAATTCCAAGCTCAATGAATTAATAAAAATACTTTCGATTTTTTCCATATGTTTACGCACACACATTTCATTTTATTCCAGGCTAAATAAATAAATAAATACTTTCTTTTTTCTCTGTTTTCGTAGACATTTTATTCCATTTCAGGCTTAATAAAAGATAATTTACTTCTATTTTTTTCCATCGTTTACGCACAATCAAGGCCAATATAAAAATATAATACTTCACTTTTTCCACACAGCAATTTTATTCCCAAGAATTAATAAAATACTTTCGATTTTTTCCATATGTTTACGCACACACATTTCATTTTATTCCAGGCTAAATAAATAAATAAATACGTTCTGTTATTTCCACCTGTTTTCGTAGACACATTTTATTCCATTTCAGGCTTAATAAAAAAATAATTACTTCCTATTTTTTTCCATCTGTTTACGCACACACATTTTATTATATTTCAGGCTCAATGAATTAATAAATAAATGATCACCTTTATATTTTTCCATCTGTTTACGCAGACACATTTTATTTTATTTCAAGCTAGATAAATAAATAAATAAATAATGACTTCCCTTTTTTTTCACCTGTTTAAGCGCACACATTGTATTCTGTTTCAGGCTCAATAAGTAAGTACATAAATAAATACCTTCTATTTTTTCCATCTACTTACGCATGCACATTTTATTCTTTGGTTTGTTTGGATAAAAAAACTGTATTTTTACTAAGACTTACAATCTATTTTGTTTTACTGTTGTTTAACATCAGCAAAAACTTATCTCATCATCATATATGGTATTCTTAAATTAAAAACAATTAGTTCCTTTTTTGCTTGTAATTAAAAGTGGTAAAAAATTTCATGTATTCTCCAATATAGAATTAATTACTCTTTAATGAAATGTGTAACTAAGTCTTAAAGGTTTCATTTCAGATGCATTAATTTTCAGTTCTTTACATTCGAACAATTTAGTGATATTATTCTATTCTAACAGGAAACTTACGTTTGGGAATTCTATCAGAAAAGATGTTGGGACTTCTTTCCTGTGGGTGATTGCTTTAGGAAGCAATACGAAGATGAACTGATGGGTGGAACAAGTTAAAATCAAATTTCGTCTGACTTCTTTTTTGAGAAAAATTTTGTGAAGACAATCTCTAAAATGTTTTCTGTTTTTGTGAAATGTGTAGTAAAGGAAGATGAAAAGAAATCAGTGAAATGGAAGGACTGTTAATTGCTTCCACCACGTGTAACGTTTCTGATCACAGCGGCTATATATGTACAGTATAATAAAAATACATTGTTTTCTCATTTTTCATGCTTTGGAATTCATCAGTTTGTGCATTAAACACTTATAGTCAGAATAAAGTCACAAATCAATTTAACTTCAGTTTTAAATATTGGCAGTATTTATATAGTGCATATAAAGCAGTATAAAACTGTTGTTACATTTGAAAGTATGACTCCTATAAGGTATTTAAAAGCAGTTTTATTATTTAAAATGCAGACTTCTACAAGTTTTAGCTAATAATTTTAGCTAATGAAATTCTAAAGACATGCACTTTTTAAATTACACTCATGTCCATAAATTAAGGATAATGCAAAATCAGGCAAAGGAAGAGTTAGAAGCAAAACAAATTTGACTTATTTGTAAAGCTTATTTATTAAACAAAAGGTAAAGAGCAAAAAAAGATGTTATATGTTTGATATTATTAAAAAAATTAGTGATTTTTCTCCCTTGAGCAAATTACAAAAAAAACCTATTTACAAAAAACCAATATTACATGGTTGGTATGATTGTTAATACATTGTATGTCTCCCAGACGATGCAATACAGTCCGTACAACGCCTAGGCATGCTGAGTATCAAATTATCGATGATCTTGGGGGATATTACACCACTCAAAAAGCAATGCACTCTCGAAGTTCCCGGTAGACATGTAGGAAGGAGGTTGACGGGCTGCAACTCGTCGGCCAAGCATGTCCCACACGTGCTCTACTGGATTCAAGTCCGGTGAGAATGCTGGCCAGTCCATACGGGTGATATCCTCCGATTGAAGGCATTCGCTTACGATGTTTGCACGGTGAGGACGGGCGTTGTCATCCATAAACACAAATTGTGTGCGCCATGGCACCCCGAAACAAATGTACATGTTGTTCCAGAATGACGTCCCGATAGATTTGGCTTGTCATGGTTCCAATTTGAACATGCAGGTCAGTTCTGGAACCCAGAATAATTCCACCCCAAACGAGCACTCCTGCACCACCGTAACGGTGTCGTTCAATGATGTTTTCTTGGTGGTAACGGGTACCTGGAGCTCTCCATATGAAAGTCCGGCGAGAATCAGACTGCAAGCTAAACTTGGACTCGTCGGAAAACATCACACAAGCCCACTGTTGCGGTGTCCACAATGCATGCATGCTCTCTACTCCAGGCTAACCGCAGGCGACAGTGAGTTGCAGTAAGTGGAACGCATCTGACAGGTCTACGAGCATATAGACCAATCTGCAATCTGCCCTAAGCGTCTGTACACGGTCTGCCTTGAAATTGTCGTACCAGTGGCTGAAGAGAGCTGACGAGACAGGTCTGAGGCTGTGCTCCGCCTGTTTCTTTTTGGCAGTAACTGCCAAATACCGGTCCTTATTCGGCGTTGTAACTCTGGGGCGACCTGTGCTGCTGTCACTACTCACATTACCATCATCTTGGAATCGTTGCCAAAGCCTGGAGATGACACTCTGGGCAATTCCAAGTTTGTCTGATACTTCCAGTTGGGTACGCCCACATTCCAGACGGCCGATAATTCTACCACGTAAAAAATCATCCAAATGCGTCCTTTGTGTCATAATTATTCGGTTATTGCACTGAAATGCGTATAAAGTGCCTGCGAACAATTTTACTTCTTTGCCTGTATTCCTTATATATCACTCTCTTACACTCTCGTCATTGTGACGTACCATCGGTGTCAACTGGTTACTTCGTGAAATTTGCATATGATTCTTGAAGATGTGTGTAGTGATTTTCCAGGTGATATATTTATTTTAGAGTTCGATTTCCGCGTGAATCCGAATTATCCTTAATTTATGGACATGAGTGTATTTTCTCAACTTGGTAGTATTCTGGAAGTTCAAAAAATCCATTTACGGAAACCGAGAGGTAATTTTTCTCAGAGAGTTTCAGAAACTTTGAATAAAACTTTTTTTTTTGCTCACCATTTTTCTTGGTCATAGCTTTAGAAATACTGTATTAATATAAAATTTTTGTATCTATGTGTTGCTCGTTACATATGAATTATCATGAATATCAGTTTTCCGCACTACGCATTGATAGCTAATTATCAGTAGCCTTTTATGGTCTCACCAGCGGCAGAGCAGTAAAATCGCTAAGCACTGGTAGTTCGGTTTGGGGTTCGAATTCCGGGTAAGGTGCTAGCTGCATGAGCGCTTTCGTGGTTTTCCCCATGTATAACGTGTATTCGAACCAGTTTGCCTTAGGAAGTCTTCCACGAAGGCATCCCTCCCCGTAGGCAAATAGCCCTGGAGTGCTTTGCTGTAATTAAACAAATCAAACTAGCAACATTTTAAACTATCACACATTGGATGTGTTAAGGGATCTCACATACTGGTTGCCATGTCGAACTAATTCTAACCAGTCTAAAACAGATTTTACACTTAGGAGTTCCATGCGCGTTTACGAAAATGTAAGCATTATTGAACTGTAGTAAAAGAAAATTAATTTTGAAGTATTTTATTTTGTCATTTTTAACAGGGTTGTTTAATTTTAGCAGTCATAGACCTTAACTTCCTCTCATTGTTAGAAGAGAGTGTAGCTCCTATCAGTCATCTACTGTATTCTCTTCATTGAACAAGATATTTGTTGTTCTTTATGCGCGATAGTAGCTCTTGCCACCGACAGGGGGAATCTTGCTCTCTTGCTGCGAGGAATTTTGTCGGAATTTTGTCTGATAATAAGCGAGATAAGTGACAACTACATTATAAACTCTTATCACGAAAACCTCTGTTCATGAAACAATGATTTCAACAAAAAACAGCTTGGATGACGAATGGTGTCTCCATTTACGAAAAATCGAATTGCCAATATGATGATTTTTCAGAGATATTTTGAAGTAACCTGTGCCACGTAATTAAAGCTCAGAAACATTTTCAAACATCATTTTAATATTTTCTATTGCTAAACTCTCATTAAAAAAACCTGGCGGCAGGGGGTTTACGGTAGTGATTTGAAACTGGTGGCCCTGAAGCAATTTCACGGAGCCTGCGAATACCATTCTCGTAAAGTAATTACATTATCGTAGCATTAATTACTAAGAGTTTTAAAAACGTTTAAAGCTTTAGTGATATGGAGTCAAATTTTGCATTTTTTTCATGACCATTAAAAACGAACATGAATAACACGTCAGAAAAATCTACAAATAAAGCTAATTAATTTACACTGGTATAAATCTTACACAGATACAGGGGTTGGACAAAAATATGGAAACACCTTTAAAAAAACATGTTTCTTTGCTTAATATGGTGTAGGAAACCCGTTGGTATCCAAAACAGCTTGCAGTCTTCTCGGAATGGATAAATACAGTTCCTGTATGTTTGCCAAGGGAATATTATACCATTCTTCCTGCAAAACGGTGGCAAGTTGAGATAACGATGTTGGCGGTGGATAACGAGAACGCACTTTCCGTTCCAATGGTGACCACAAAGGTTCGATAATATTCAGGTCTGGTGACTGTGGCCAGGAGAGATGGGACAACTCATCCTCGTGCTCAGAAAACCAGTCCTGGACAATGTGAGCTGTGTGAACAGGCTTTGTCGTCTTGGAAGACACCACACCATCGGGGAACAAAGTTGTACCATGGGATGAACTTGATCGGCCAAAATGTTCACATAAGTCTTGGCAGTCATGTGCCCTGACACAGTTATCATGGGCTAGCAGAGAACCACGATATGGCTGCCCAACCATAACAGAACCCCCCCCTGTTTCACTCTTGGCAACAAGCAGTCTGCATTATAGGCTTGAGATGGCGTTCTCCAGACGTAAACTCGGCCAGAAGTGGGAAACAATGTGAAAGAAGACTCGTCAGACCATATTACTCGCTTCCACTCTCCAGGCTTTATGACTTAAACACCACCTTTTCCTGTTACGGGCATTAGCATCACTGATGAGTGGCTTCTTCAATTGCAGCACGGCCAGCAATTCCCTGTTTATGAAGCTCCCTTCTAATTGTTTTGGTACTCACAGGGTTTGGTAACACAACATTCATTCAGCAGTAACTTTTGCAGCTGTGGTCTTCTTATTTTTCGTCACAATGCCCTTAATGATCGTCTGTCACGATCACTCAGGACACATTTTCGTCCGCGCTGTGATTTAGCAGATGATGTTTCGCACGGAATAAACATACCTCGTCTAAACTCGGCTTGCTTACGGAAGCACCTCCATACGTGCTCCGCACTTTGCACACTTCGAAGTCGTTACTCTGACATAATGCAATGACAACCTCACATAACAGTCTCCGAAAACAACTGAACTGTTTAGCACATTTACGAAGTTGTATAGGTGTTGTCAGTAGTCAAAACTGCTAGCGCCACCGACATATTCATTAAAATCAATCCTTTTCAAACATGCATTTACAAGGTGTTTTCCATATTTTTGTGGTCCATCCACTGTATTTTAAGGTACAGATCTCATTAATTTTTTTTTTACGTTTCTGACAAGAGATAAATACCGCCAGTTACTAATTTTTGCCGCAAGAATATGCGTTTTTTTGGGAGTGCATTTATAAGAGAAGACAATTTCCCCCCCCCCGCAGTTAAAATTTAACGCCTATAAAAAAGAACCAGATTATTCGATGAATATTTACAATTCAGGATAAAGAACGGTTTATAATAATGTTTCTCTAAAGTTATAAATTTAGCAAATAGAAACGTCATGAAGTGTAAAATTGTAGTAAGAAATAAAGGAGTTTATAGTTATTGATGTACAAATATCTGAATTTTTTCTGTATGCATAAAAAATTAATAAAAAATGAATGATACTTGGTTGTCATTATTCATTCTCAAGTTTTTGCTCCACTTGGAGTGCTTTCGTAATTTTCTTATTTTAAAATAAACGTTAATTATTTAATGGTTTATTCAAAATATTTGAATTATCGGAAATAAATGTTAATCTGAAAACTTAATATTTAAATATCAATGCATTTGAATTACGAAATGTATTTATCAGAAATTTCTTTAAGAGACTAAGAGAGATCAAATGTATTTGGAAGGTTTTGTTTTGTTTAAAAAACCATTTTTTTTATTTGGGG